CATACATGTGGGTTAAGGTTTTAAAGCTTAGTACTTTAGTCACCAGGGAATCTACAGAAACTCTCGTGAGACTTTAGATGTACCTCCGTACCCGATAAACCTCCTTAAGTAAATAAAAAATAAATACGTGAGGATACAGTGTTCGTAACTACGATATTTGTTAGTTTTATGAATAATAGGTTCAACCATTATTCTGCAAATTATGGTAATCAATTAAATATCAATTTATTTACAATTCTATTGTCCTTAAATGCTTAAAAATAAACAATTTTCTTATTCCAACAGTCAGTTAAAGGTACCTCATCAATTTTTCACGAACTAATTTGCTGTCACATGTTACAGCAATAAAAATCTTTTTATTGTTAATGATAATTAACAGTATACAGGGTGATTCACAAATGGTGACCAAAAATGAAACCTCGTATTCTTTGGTGGATTTTAAGGGGAGTCTTTCCTATAAAGTTTTTATCTAGGACGCTTCGTTAAAAAGATACAGGGTGTTCAACTTCAAAGAATATTTTTATTTTTTTTTTAAATAATTTAAAACCTAGTAAGTGAAATAATTTGAAATTGGGCACATGTATTTATGTAAACCTTGTCCAAATTCTGAGGGTTTTTCCTAAAATTTACATGCTCCAGTGGCGGAGATACAGGGTATCTGGGGCATATTTTTCTAAATAAGATAGTACGCCACTGCTTTACGGTAACAATCATAATATTTTTGGATTCTTCTTTCAATTTTCTACAAATTACTATCTCTCTTATGTTTTTCGAAAAAAGCCTGATTTTCGAGTAAAACTTACAAAACGAACTGAGATCACACTTCGGTATTCGTATATACAGAGTGGTAATTAAATTTGTACAATAAATTCAACAGACGATTATTTGAGTGATTTTAAGACAAAAAGTTCATATAAACATTGGTCCGCAGACGCTTCATTTTCAAGATACAGGGTGTTAAACTTTTGTAAAAGAAAATTGCAATTTCGTAAATATCTTTAGGTACCCAATTTTGTTGTAATTTGGCAGTGTTATTTGTAGTGTTAAGGGGCTAATTTAACCCTAACTTGATTAGATTTGTCAAGTCCAGTGGCGTTCCGAGCGGTACCTTAACGAATATTTTTAATAATGTTTCTTGTGTGGTCCAGAGATATACAATTAAGTGGATTTTATTTTTTTTCTCCAAAAATTAATCAATATACGAAAAACATTCAAGTGACAAAAAAGTTGTATTTTTAGTTGCTTAATCAAAAAAATATAGAAAAATTCCAAAAAAGTCAGTGGCGTACATTTTTTTTGTCAAATATATTTAAGGGTATTTAAGATATTTACGAAATAGCCATTTTTTTACAAAAATTTAACACAGTTCATGCCCATAGTTCCCCGCGTTTGTACTCATGCAACATAAACTTTGCCTTTCCTGCATCCTCAAAAATAAAAATCTAAAAGATTCAGGTCGGGTGACCTAGCAGGCCAATGTACAGCTGCATCTTGCCCACGCCCAATCCATGCACTTTGAAATATTGAATAAAGAAGGACGTATGCGAAAAGGTATCCTTTTTCTGATATAGCCGAAATATTGAGAGATAATTATTTAGAACCGTTCGGTAGCTTGCATATCGGAAGAACAATTGTTTGATTTTCATGAGTCTTTGCTCCGTCCATATCGATTTGTTCTTAAATATTTTATTACCTAACAAGACGTGTCAAGGTGTGTGAAAGCTAGTCATGAGATTCAACAAACGTACACACTAAAGGCATATTATGTAAACTTGCGAACGATTTATCTATTGTGGCGGAGGTGGGTTCAGGATCACCAGTGGCGGAACTTCAAAATTTGGGGCCCCGTCCAGAAAAATTCAAGTCAGGTCCTTTGAATGGAATAGATCTTTCTTTAAAAGCAAAATCATTGTGGTGAAATTTTTTATCTTACTGTAGTGACGAGGATAGTCCCAAAAAATTTCTAGGGTACTGAATTTCGGATTAATAATATTGTAGTTAAAATCTCATTTGTAAAAAAATAATTGTCGTAGAAACATCAATGATTTTGCTGGCATTTTATTTAAAATGTAATTTATAATAAAACTACCTTTTTTAAGAATGATTTTTAAAATAGAGGTGCATAATAAAAGAGTTATTTTATCTCAGAAACACTACTAGGAGTTAAAAGTAGTGATCGAAGTTCCCGAACATCCAGTGGCGTCGAATTTCCGGGGTTCTTCGAAATAGTGACTCATCGTATCTGCGACAGTAGGGGTCAGTTTTTAGGGGTAATAGTCCATATATATCCTTAAATACGAATCTTTTTTAAAATCAAATAATAAATAGTCGAGTTATAATCAGTTTTTATAAATGCACTTTAATACTTGTGTACGCCGCCACTGTAATATTCATGTATTACAAACACATGAATTGTAGGCAACCTACAGTGCATGTGAAGGGAGATAGTGCGAGTCCACGGTGACGAAGAGAAGGGCGTCAGTTTTGTTCCGCGTTAAAATCAATAGAAATCTCGATTTTTTGTTAAAATAGTTGAGATTTTGAAATTAAAGTTGTGTTAAAAGGATCAAAATAAGCAAACTTCGCACTAGACGTAATTAGTGAGGTTATGTCATACCATTTCCTGAACTTGAAAATAAATTAATCCACAAACTATTAACTAGTTAAAACGGAAAGTAAAAATATAACGACAACGAGGATTAAAATCTATAATTTCTCTGTAAATACTTCGTTGTTATACAGGGTGTCCCACGATGACGAGACATTAGACATATTTCAGAGCTACTTAGATTTCAATTTTGAAAATTTGGGAATAATGGCGTTCACGTAACGCTTCTGGTTAACGTCATCTTCGTTATTTTGAATGGAACACCCTGTATATTATTGCAATTTTGGATCTTACGTCAATTTTTAGGTGAACTTTCATAAAGGTTTCCTGTTCTTAAAGTTAACCGTTTTTGATATATTTAATTTTTTTTCAAAAAAAATTAAAAAAGCAGTGCCTAATTCAAAAAGATGTATATTTTACAATAATAAAGTTAGAGCGATAAAATTTATAGAGGGCATAACTAAACCTGCAAGCTTCCCTGCCATAATTTCAAAATGACTTAATTTCATACAGGGTGGTAGAAATTTAATGCACAATTTAGTCAACTTTAAACCATTTTAACTTTTTTTTTTTTAATTGAACACCCTGTATATTTTGCGCAACCCGATGAACAATTTTGTTCTCTTTCGAATGGTATAATGGTTCCCTATACCTATATCTTCTGGTTTTTAAGGTATTTACTGTTTTTCGTGCAGTCAACGGATATCGCAGAATTTCTTTAGAGGATGGCTGTGAAATTTTTAGTGGAACTTCAAAACAAGCACCTAATCTGTCACCACTTTTTTGTTGTCAATTTAACATATACAGTGAATGTTTATTTGAGTATTATTTATTGTTAAAGAATGGAAAACCATAACATTTATTCAAAAGCTGACATTCTAAATTTATTATTTATTCATGGAAAGTGTCACAATATAATAAATAGGACTTGCGGGGTATTTAATGAGAGATATCCTTCATTTACAACCAATGACTAGACACATTTTACGAAGAATTTTAAGAAATCAATTAGAACATGGTCGTATTTCTACACATAGAATTTTGCCAAAGCCGATAACTTTAGATGTAGGTAACATCGTCAATGTTTTGGCGTACGAACATGAGGAGGTTCCAGGTCCCCTAGTAGCAGTGTGAAGGGGGACTGCTCGTTCTTACTGTATGGCAGTTCCGCCACTGTTAATCGTGTTTAATAAACAAAACATCTGAAGCTTGAAATAAATCAAGTTATTTGGAAGTAAGTGTTCTATTTCAATGTCAAAACAAATTTATGTAAATCAACAACTTTTCTTCATGTTCTATTTTTGTGCATTGTCGTATTTTTTATTGTTATTATTAATTTGCAAGAGGCAGATATACTGACGTAATTAACAGCAAAGGTAGAAATCCCAGTTATATTAAAAACAATACCTAGTAATAAATAATTGGAAAATTGAATTTTCCACTGAGGAAATGGTAATAATATGTCAAAAAAGTGGCAAGGTATAAAAGACACACTTAGAATAAGTCAGTTTGCGTTTTGTTCGTCGTTATCCCCAGTACTTGAGATAATCAGGTGTTGCAGAGTGTTTTCTATTTGTGGAAATCCCTTCGTTATAAGACTACCGTTTTTAACAGCATCAGTTCTGCAAAATAAATTTACAAGGCCTTAAAACACGTAAAAACGCACCTTAGTGTTCATTTTATGTACCTATGTAGTTTCAATTAAAACTTAGAACCCTATTGATATATTGAAGAGAAGAAACAGAAAAATTGTATATTTCCTTCAATTGTCATGTCACCTTTATAATAGGCGTATTTTCCCTTTTATACATTAAAAAATCGTTATTACAGTTGTGTGAAAGCTATTATAGGCACTCAACTTTTCCAACAATAATTTATTTTAATTTATACATTTTTAATTCATTCTCTACAACAAAATCTACGCATTTCATAAAAAATCGAGAATGACCCCGTTTAATTAATTTCCGAGATCATTATTATTATTTATGTGTACGTATAATACACATGAATGATGTATGGGTGGTACATACAATATAGTTTTCTAAGTAGAGGTAGGTCCAAACGGCTAATAATAAATTACAATCACGCATTTTATAATCGAGTACGAATCTAACTTTCACAAGGAAATGTGGAACAAATCTCTCAAACACGTAACTGGTACCATTTATTATTTATCTATATTTATTCATGGTTGCAAAACGTGCTTATTAACTTTACAATGCCATTATTTACGCGTCAAAGGAATACAGTGATTAACAAATAAAGAAAAATCTTTACGTGAAATGCCTATAACTCGGTACATAATCCACAACACGTTTTACTCTGAAACGATTTAATGGTTGCCTACATCAAAAGATTTGAAATGTTGGCAACGTTGGTCAAATGTCAAATTTCGTAACGTCACTGAAACAAGATAGCTGCTATGGCCGGTAAGGGTGAGTCGAGCTAGCGGAAAAGGACACATTTAATCGCTTTAAAAGGTTGGAACTATGTTGCAGGGGTTCCAGAGACCGAGGATCAGCAAAAGCTGCGCTTCCAGATAGAACTGGAATTCGTGCAGTGCCTCGGCAACCCCAATTATTTAAATTGTAAGTAAACTAACCTCAAATTTGTGTTTACCCGATACTTGTTCACGGTTTTCTAATTAACTGTGACACTCGTTTACGTCTTCAGTCTTGGCCCAGAGGGGATACTTCAAAGACAGCACCTTTATCAACTACTTGAAGTATTTGTTGTATTGGAAGGAACCCGACTATGCGAAATACCTCAAGTATCCGATGTGTCTGTACTTTTTGGACCTTCTTCAGTACGAACACTTCAGACGCGAACTGGTGAACGCACAATGTTCCAAGTTCATAGACGATCAGCAGATCTTGTTGTGGCAACATTATACCAGACGTAGAAGCAGACTTTTAATGACACCGACCGTTAATGGTAACATGGATTCCAGTGTAAACAACCAGGCCGGGAGCCACCAAGCGAATGGCCACTTGAACGCAAAGATCTCGTAGTTATAAGACGTGACAAGTTGTTAGTGTTAGATTGTCGTTTTGTAATAAACTTCGTTGTATTTAGTGAATGTGTTGTTTATTGTCCGTAATACCGTAACATTTCTGTGAACTCAAAACATAATCTTTATTCTTAAATAAAACTAGTAAAATGTATAAAAACACAATTTACTGTGATAACGAATGTAAGAATATAGTAAACAAAATAAAATAAATAAATAAATAACTATTTACAAGTTTTTGTACAATAAATAACATATAATTGCCATCAATAATCATAATCATCGTCATCACCCAGCAGGCCGAATCCTTCCCTGTCATAATCGTAGTCTTCTGCCCCTGGAGGCACAAACGCACCATTTAATGCCTCCGAGATTTGCTCCCCAAGTCCTATCCTTGTCGCAATGCCATAAATAAGCCTCATAACAGACAATCTAAAATCAAAAACTGTTGCTTTCATTTTTTTAATGATATACCATGCTTTCAATGTCGAATAAGTCGTAAATCTTCATATCAAATCGAATTCTGTACCAACCTTATAAAATTCACAGCATTCGTCTCCTTTTGCCTCAAAACCATCGCTTTGCTGTGCTTCTTCCTTCTCCTAGCATCGCTGAGGCTCAAAACTAAAAGAAGCAAAACACAAACAACTGTAATCCTACACAACACTCTCATCTTAAGGCTTGTCTTCGAAGAACTGGCTTCTCGCTAGTGTTAATCGCGAAGCGCGTCTACAATTTGAAGAAAATTCAAACGAAAACCATGAAATAGAAATCGCGGTGCAGTTCGATTGCTATTGCCGACGCGTCGGACCACTTTTCCTCGCCATATCTTCTTCGATTTTGGTGCTGGGTCTAAAATATTTCGTCCGGCTGCATTTGCAGAATTCAAATGAGGTTTACAGTTAGGCGCATCGAAGTAGGTTAATAGTGATTGAGGTCCGCATGTCGCCTTTTATCTTCGAGGAGAGTGTAAGTCATCTCTTCGACAGTTAACAGTACTTTGTGGTTTTGAGCGCTATGTAATTACTTTTTAGAACACGTATAAAAAAAGTTGAATCGAATTTTATTTGGGACAATGATTAACTCAAAAGGATATCAACAAAGGTACGCTATCTCGATAATCTGCTGTAATTTTACTTCTCTAATAGCCCCGGACTTCACGGCAAGGTTTAACAAAATGAAACCAAAATACCAAAAAGTGTTTAGGTTGTGAAATTTTGTATCGGCAAATCGCCGATTGCGTGAGCTTTTTTCTCTCTCAAACACAGTGCTTTAATAAGAAAACAAACAAATACTTTTTATTAAAAAGACTTTAAATGATTTTATATAAAATCTATCAGATAAATAAATATTGTAGGCATTTTATTGTATATTCGGATTTGCCGCCCTTTGTTATATCGGTGACAAGGGTGACAGAAATGTCGTTGAGGAAGTTGAGAAGAAGAGGCAGAAAACAAGGTTATTCAGGGTTATTCATTCTTTCTTTTATGTTTTGTGTTATTCAGAGAGAGGTTAGAAAAGAGACGACTTTTTAACTTTTTGTCAACGTTTAATGTTTTATGGAAGAAAAAATACAAGTTTTTAAGTTTTCGATTATTATTTGTTGTCAGTGCCCATTCTCTAATAACTTACAATATTTTTGTTCTTTTATTACGTACATTTAAAAAACACCAATTTAAAGTTATGCTTTTTTATGGGATATAAGAGAAAAACACTGCATTGTTCATATTCAATACAATTTTTTATGTATAATAAAATATAACGTTATGCGTCATGGGTAGAAATTAGCCTCAATGATTTGGGATCGAGGGGGATTATCCCTCTTTATCCTGCCTCATCTCGTGTAGGCCTGGACAGCCTTCGTAGGTGTCTCCCAACCGTCGTCTACCCCGACCGCAAATGCGGCCGGTGTAGGCGCTTTGTGGGACCTCCTTTTGTCCTGGCTGGGCCCCGCCGGCTAGGGCCCTTTCTTCTGGCGCTCTTCTTGCTTCGCCGGCTCGTCTGTAAACCCCGGGGCTGGTGTCATGTTTATGTGTGGTATGGTTGGGTAGGGTAGTGCGGCTATGCAGCCTGGGATGCCCTTTGCTAAGATGTATTTTTAATCGAATGAAGTTAAATTTTTAAAGTAATTAACAAACAAATTCAAATATCCTGAAAAAGCAATACATATTTTTAGTGGTAATTAAAAAAAAACAATTTTATATTTTTGTAATAGAAAATTTATTAATGTAAATTTAATTGTAATAAAATGTGATATTAAAAAATAATACGTTCTACTAACTTTATTGCAATGCGTTTAAGAAAATACAACTATTCAGAATCAGAAGAGTAAAACGCATTGGCCGAATCGACGTTAATACTTAAATCTAAGCTATTATAGCACCCTCTAAATTTCCTAATAATGTCCCCCCACAAAAATGTACCTGCACATTTCGGACATTTTCCTTCCACAGGAATATATTCGCCTTTGTCCACAAAGTGCTTCGATAAACAAACCACGTGGCTATTTAAGTTACACCTACCGTTCAAACAGTTCAACTTTCTCCCTTCGATCGGTTTGAAGCAAAGGTTGCAATACGAAGCATGGCCCTGATCGGGAACATCTGTTGAGCCCTCGGCAGTCTTTTGTAGTTTCTTGCTGATGACTGGGCCTTGACAAATGGGCATATGGAGTGGAGGAACTTTTAGCGACTAAAACAAAGTTGTGTAACAAGTAAACGAATATATATATACACGACTGCCTCACTGAAAATTCCTTTACAAATTCTGAATTCAACCACCTTATTGTTAGAGGGAGTCGACACCAAGGGCCAACTGTTAACATCTCGCTTAGCACTCGAATACAAAAATCGTAGGATTTTTCTTTCGTCTTCTTCTTTTGAACGTGCTGAAGTCTTCTTGAGACTTGAGGGTGTTGCCAAGCCCATTCAAACTAATAAGTAAACTACTATGAACACTTGCGAAAACTCTCTTAAATATATTTACCCTTAACGCCGCGATATCATTGGGAAATCCATGAATAATCATTACCATGGACCTGGAAAATTAGATTTCATGAAAATTTTACACTCCGCGTAGTTAAAAGTTTACCAAGGGCCTTTATTGCTCGTTTTCCAGGCTCCCCCATACTGTTTTCCTTTGTTGTGCTGTCTAATTCTTCGATTTGGGTCTACGGTATAACCTATATAAGTTCTTCCTTTGTATTTCGGATTCAAACAATATAACAGGTAGACTCCGTAAAAATTTTCAACGGTGTCGACATCTTCCATTTGTTTAAATAGAATTATATAGTATTTTATTCATATAATGTGAGATTTTTATAGGTTATGTTTTCGTTTACTGTTTACTTTTTGTTGGTGATTTAATTTAGTGATATTTTGGTTGGTAGTACGTGAGATTTAATGTTTTTGTTTAACGTATTGGCAGAACTGTCCGAATTGTCATGGTGTGTCAAATTCCTGCTGGTAAGGAGTGAAAAAATTGGAGAGTGATGAAAATAATCATTTCTAGAAGAATCGCGGTGATTTTTTTTTGTTAAAATTCATAGTTAACCGCGAGATAGAGTATTTTAATTTTTAGCACCTTTGTATATACCAATTATTTGGTAGTGTGAATTGCCAAATTATTACAAAATGGCAGCCACAAGGAGGTTACAAAAAGTGAGTATTTCCGTCGTTTCACGGCTAATTTTCGAATTTTTTCACCAACATGGGCTCGCTTCACGATATATACTGTAATGTTTTTATGATAGATATTTACTCAAGTTTGTAGTTAGAGAGTAAAGTTGTGAAATATCTTGTGACTCATCTGAAGGTTATTTGTCAGAAAATATTGAAGTTTCATATCCAGTCGCTAATACTGGAATTTTTAGGAGCTAGGAGATATTAGGAATTCAGGTTTAAAGTCATTCCGTGATATTCAAGTGGATGAAACAAATATTTTGACCTGGCAAGGTCTTATAGTCCCGGTGAGTTTGTTCTTTTATCATTACCTTTTTATGTGGATTCCCCAGTCAGATAAGTTGATAAGTGTAAACAGTTTGGTTTCGTCAGTTGTATCGTTTATTTAAATGACAGGAAATGTTTCTTTTTAAGGACAATCCGCCATACAATAAAGGAGCTTTTAAGATAGAAATAAATTTCCCCGCCGAGTACCCTTTTAAGCCACCAAAAATAAACTTTAAAACGAAGATTTACCATCCAAACATAGACGAGAAGGGACAAGTCTGCTTACCTATTATCAGTGCAGAAAATTGGAAACCCGCCACCAAAACCGACCAGGGTTAGTATAAAGCCTTGACAGTTTCCTTATTATTGAAAGGCTGTTAATCTTGTTGGAGGTTTCAAGGTTTTTAATAAATTTCCTGTTTGTTGTCGAAAGAAATAAAGAAACAATGACACAAAATATTATGAAAATGGATTTCTTTTCAGTATGTTGCATTTTAATTTTACGTTTTAGTGATTCAAGCGTTGGTGGCGCTCGTGAACGAGCCCGAACCCGAACACCCGTTAAGGGCGGACCTAGCGGAGGAATATTTGAAAGACAAAAAGAAGTTCACGAAAAACGCAGAGGAATACACAAAGAAACACAGTGAGAAGAGACCAGCCGACTAAGAACAGCACAGCCAACCTAGAAACTGTATAAACTTGCATTTTTACTACTTTTTTTTTATTTACACGATATTTAAAAATTATGGTGTTGTTAAGTTTATAATTTATTTTAGGACACGTCCTTTGTATCATTTTGCAGAGTCCTTTTTTTCATTTCGATTGCATTCATGTATATTGAAATTTATTGGATCTAACCATATCTTTTGCATTGTACTATTTGATTCTAAAATAAATATATAAAAGTTTTACATTCTTGTCTTTCGCTATTTGCTGCCCTTTTATTTTTATTTTTATTGCTTTTTAATCTCATAGAACATTTCTCTTTTCTTTGTGGAAACTGTAATGTGCGTTCATTTCGCATAGTGTTCCAATACTATAAGTGAATTTCTATCTTTGCTTTTTGTTCACAAATTGCATGATTAGACTTCTCGGTATGTCTCTGTTTCCAGCTGCTACGTCGGTGCATGTCATAAGCGTACAAGCAAATAACGAGCGTTCAAATAAAAACTTGGTCGAAGTTGGCTCTGACACATTGGACGTAGGGAGTAGCTTATAGCGACCAACTTAACCTCATTTCTCAACGAGCTGTATAGCAGCTGTCAGTTTCAATAACGTTAATGACTATATAACTTTATTTTAAAGAATAATCGTGATAACAATAACAAACAATTAAAGGAGCTGCGGAAAGTGTCCCCCTCCTTGTTATAACAATAAATTAAAGCAGCTGCTGAAAGTGTCCCCCTCCTTGTTCCAAGCACTTTTCACACCTGTTCCTCAAAGAATTAAAGACATTTTCTAAGATGCTCGGGGTATTGTTAATTTCACGAATCTTGTCTATAAGTCGAGCCTGCAGATGGTTTAAATCAGGAATAGGCAGTTCAAAAATAGTGTTTTTAAGGTAAGGCCACAAAAAGAAATCACACGGCGTAATATCACATGACCTCGGTGGAAATTCATGTTCAGCATTGAGACTTATTAGTCGATTTTGGAAAACTTCCCTCAACATATTCATCGTCTCGCCTGCCGTATGTGCCCTTGCGCCATCTTGTTGAAAGTAAAAGTTTGTAATTTCGTTTTCTTCCAGCTGGTTAACAAAAGGAGCGATAATTTCTTCTCTATACCTTTGCGCAGTAAGAGTACCATTAAAAAAAATAGGTCCATAAATCCTCCTTCGATTGAGAGCACACCAAACTCCAATTTTTTGAGCGTGTAGAGGGCCCTCGACAAAAAAGTTATCTGGTTTTTCAGAAGACCACATTCTCATATTCTGTGAGTTTACGTAACCACTTAAATGAAACCAGGCTTCATCAGAAAAAAAGGTGATATTATGAAGTTCACCGTAGTTGTTTAAAAACCATTCACAAAATACAGCCCGTCGCGGAAAATCAACTTCATGAAGTTCTTGCTGACAAGTTAAACGATAGGAGAACAAACGCAAATCTTTTTTTAACACTGTGTGGCAGGTACCGACTGATACTCCCACCATTTGTGATAAAACACGTACAGAAGTTCTTGGCGCATTTTCCATTATTTGTTGGACATTTTCTTTTAATTCTTCAGTCCGCTTTTTAGGTCGGCCGCTTCCTTCTTTTCTTGTTACACTGCCCGTTTCACGAAAAACATTAACACAACGCTGAACTGCACTTTGAAAAATTTTGTACTCAACAACGCCGGGAAATTGATTTTGAAATTCTATGAAACATTCCTCAATAGAATACTTCCATATTCCATCAATCTTGCGTCCATTTCTAAAGTAGGACTCTATGATAAACACTTTTTGTTCTTGAGAAAACACCATTTTAAACGCTTTTTAAAACGAAAATATTCAAATTGATAGCGGCGATATAGCGCTTTGACAGATGACGTTTTAAGTTCATTTGCTATACACTACGCCCTACGTCCAAATTTTCAGAACCAACTTGACCACGTTTTTATTTGAACGCTCGTTATAACATTCATCACACCGATCTGTTTTTGAGCGGCCGCTACATATCCGTTAAGTGACCTGTTACAGGACCCCTTTTTAGAAACGAAACGTAAATAATTTTAAAAGATTTATTGGAGATACAAGTTAGTTTAACGATGACAAATTATATACCTACGATCATTCTAAAATAGCTGGAATGACGAATACACTTCAATAAGACATATATATTTAATAAATCACAAATTATATTGGGATACAAAGTCCAAGGATTCGAAACTTCGACAGTTTTCTGCTCACCCCGGCGAAACCGACTCGCGAATCTAGACGTACACCTTAATTCTTCACGAAGGAGTCGTAGGCTTGGAAAACGTAAGGTGCCACCTCGACCGACCTCGACTTCAAACTCAACGTCGCGGACGTTACGCCCGGTTGAAGCTTAAGCTCCAACAGCACCCAAATGTTGTTCGTCAGCTTCAAAGACTGGTACAGCATATCCTGACCCTCCACGTTCCTCTTTGCGATCGTAAAGATGTTGTTTGACGTCATCTTATTCGAGACTGAGTCCGTCGTACCCTTAATATCACTGATCGTGTACTGTACCTGGAAAACGGAAATGAAATACGCTATCGAGGGCGCTACCAAATAAATCTAACCTCGTTCGCGGACGGAATGTCCCTCCAGGTGGTCAGGAACACTCTTTTATCCAACGTCCCGTCCTCCACGAACAGAATCTGTATGGGAATCTGGCAGGCGTAGTAGAACACGTCCACGTTGTTCTTGATCGCCACCTGAAGCGTCATGAGGGGGTCCATTCGTTGGACCGGCCCGGCGGTGTTAATTGAGAGACTGTATTCCAAGCTTTGGCCCGGTTGCAGTTGCGGGATGGTCAGCGGTGAAGCCGGGGCGATGCCAAAGCTGTTCTTGTTGAATTGGATAGCGAAGCCGGTCATCGCCTACAACGGATTTAGCGAATAACTTAAAATATATTTGTTACATTATTTTTTGTACCTGCATCGCTTTGTTCGTTAGCGTCATGTCCATGGACATTTGACCGGCCCGTCTAGAGAAGGTGCCGTAAATCTCGAGGCCTTTGCCCTTTTCCGCGGGCAACCAACACGTTTTCGGTGGGGTGTACATAGTTGGAGTCGACGACAAACCGAAAATATCACCTAAAAGTCCCGTCGTTGATGGTGCAACACTTCCCGCTATATCCGAAGTACCACCCAGCTGAAAAATAAGTCCCACGTAAGTAAACCGCCTTGAGAAAAGTGAATTAACGTACCAAAACATCTAGACCGCCTCCCAGCAGGTCAACGTTGCTCGTGGGAGCAGCGATTGGTGCTGGAGCTGCCGGAACAGTCGTCCCTAGGTCCATAGACAAGAGGTCTCCGATGAGACTGTCCTGGCTGGGTATAACGGTCGCTTCGGCAGTTGCCGTTGTGTCCTCGGCTGAGCCCTGGCGAGCGGGCAGGGTTTTTCTAATGCCTAGAAATCGCCGGATTACAATAACGTAATTCTCCAAACGTAATTTAACTCACCCGCACTTCTACCCTCAACGAAAGCTGTTGGGGGCTTGTGGTAAACGCTCGCTAAAGACGATATGTGACAGATCAGTTCGTCCAACAACGTCGGTTCCAGGAGGTCCGTTTCCTCGGATATCAACGGTTTGTCGGCCAAGACAACTTCTTTTGCAGCAGCGGGATCAGTACTCAACAATCTAAAAACGAAATAGTGATTTCTTGTAAATCGAACAGGATTTTTTTACCTCCAGTAGATGAAACCACGATCTCTCAAGTCCGGATTGTCTGAATCTTGAGTCGCGAGACTCAACACGTGCTGCACAAGCCCCTGGGTGTGCTGGGGGCGTTTCAGAAACAGTTTCACCACTGCCGTTAGAAGCTGTAATTGTACCTGCGCGTTCTCATCGGCAAAACCTAGAAATATATTTTTTTAATACGAAATATACGAGAAAATAAGAAATGAAACCTTCTAGGAAACTATCAAGCAGTTCATCGGCATTGTCGATCCTCTCGGCATATTCTCCTATTATCCAAACCATGCTAGCTCTGGCCTCCGGCTCATCTAGCGTGTCTAAGTTCTCACATAGGGTGCTAATGATGCTCTCGTATTTGTTGGGGTACTTCCTAAAAATTTATTTTAACGTCGAACATCTTGAGAATAAAGCATCGCGAATGGTGTATACTCTATTAAAGTAGCACTAAATTTAAACATTTGGAACATTTTGGTTTCTTTTTTTTCTGTTGGCAACACTTTTATCATAACTTTAGTTAATTTTAATGCGTCAAATGTCAAATATTTTTTTTGACAATTTTGACAAGAGAAATGTCTGATTAACTACGAACATATCGACGTTTTTTCAATATCTACGTTGATAGTAAAGGAATTTTAAACATACACTCATACAGGTAATAAACAATTTTCAACGACATAATAAAACGGCTATTAAAATTGTAGATCCGCCCCCTATCACCTTCAAATTGTTTACATTTAGGGAGTGGCATTTATTACTCATAAAAATTCTTGATAACATAACTTTTAGCGCATTACACGTCAAGATGTTGGACGAGAAACTGTTACAAGAAAGACTGGCACAGTTCAACCCCGAACCGTTGGTTGAAATTAACGAAACCAAGACCAAAGAGGATATCGAAAGTTATGTGAACAAAGATGACGAGAATAACATCGACTTGGCCAAAACTAATTTTTTGGACGTTTTAAACAGCGAGGACATCAAGAAATCCTGTGAGAGTATTATAAGAAAGTACGGCGTAGGCACTTGCGGCCCCAGAGCTTTTTACGGTAAAAAAATATCGATTTCTCACGGACAATGTAATTAATTGTTATATTTAGGTACAACCGATGTTCATTTGGAGCTAGAAGAACGTATTGCCGAGTTTATGTGTATGGAAGAAGCCATCGTGTACTCGTACGGATTCGTGGCTATATCGAGCTCCATCGCGGCCTACTGCAAGAGAAAAGACATAGTTTTCGTGGACAAAGAGGCGAATTTTCCAATCCAACAGGGCCTGACCGCGGCTCGATCCAACGTGGTGTATTTCGACCACAACGATCCCGACAGTTTCCGAAAGGAGGCCCAAAAAGTCGCCGAGAAGGAAAAAAATAAGAAACCTGCGAGGAAATTCTTGATCGTCGAAGGTGTGTCTTGGAAGACCGGCAAAGTCCTACCCTTGGAGGAATTTCTAAGAGTAGCAGAGGAATTTAAGATGAGGGTTTTCCTGGAAGAAACGTACTCCGTTGGCATATTCGGCGACCACGGCAGAGGCCTCACTGAACACTTCGATATCGACCCCACCCGCATAGACATGATCATTGCCACTTTAGAATCGGCAATAGGCTCCATCGGGGGATTCTGTGCCGGATCGCAAACGGCCATCGAGCACCAGAGACTCTCCGGTTCCGGTTATATTTTCTCCGCGTCGTTGCCCACTTATCTTGTCCAAGCCTGTTTGGAATCCTTAAAGGTTATGGGGGAGAAGCCGAAACAGCTGAGAGCTCTGGCGGAAGAATTCCACGATTTTCTAAAAGAAACCTGCAAGTTTAAAGTTATAAGCGATTCGCAGTCAGCATTCAAGGTGTTCACAGTCACAGATGAAGATCGCAGGGTGGAGACGGAGACGAAGATTTGGGAGTTCTGTAAGGAGAACAAGGTGCATTTTCTCAGGAACGACGTTGGGTTGGTTGTGAATCTGAACGTGGCATTGCGTGACGATAAGCAGAGGCTAGAGAAGGTGTACGATGTATTGAAGAGAGCTGCTACCTTGTAATTGTAGTTTATCGCACTCTTTTTATATTTATTGAAAAAAAGTACAATGTTATTTCATAAAAATTCCATATTATACCGATTTTAGGTGTCTACGTTATATATAATAGATTTTGTTGTTAATAAATTAGTTTTTTTTAAATTGCACTTTTTTTTCGTCAGCTTATTTGAAAATTTTCAATTCGTTACATGACGAAATTATTTTCATGCGATATTGAATGCAAAAGTGTCTGGAATTATTAACTCTTTAACTCTGTTGCGGTTTTATGTTATATCGCATTAACCAAAAATGTGTAGCATCGATTCCACCGGGAAAGTGACTATTTTTTTAATATATTTTTCTAAAAATACATTGCGGGTTTTAAATGTCGTGAAACATTTCCACCTTCCTAAATGCATCACAGTAATTATGGCACAACTGTTTACATCGTTGCAATATTAGTCCGGGCGAATTAGGTTTTTTTTCAAAAATCGGGCCCAACTCAAATTTTATGGGCTTAAAATTAAGTAAAAAATACACAGAATAGAAGCCTAAATTTGTATAGAGGTCATGCGTCATATTGTTTATAACAAAAGAAAAAAAAATATTATTTTTTTCAGTTTTTCGCTTATTTCTCCGAAAATAAGCCTCTAATCGACATGAGGTATACCTATCGATTTTGTTCCTGAGGAAATGTGCTACAAGGATAGGCTTTTGCGAAAGCTCGTAAAATTTTTTTTACATTGCAAAATTAGCGGTAGTTTTGCAAAATTTTCAGCATTAAATAAAAATAATTAATTTGACTGAAATTGGATTGGAAACTACAGAAAAAGATAACTGTAGGGGCGCTCAGCAAATACCCGCAAAATCCGGACCCCAATTTCAAAATGGCGGCCTCTGCAAAGTTATAAAGTCAAAGGAAAATGTGAGCGGGTATATTTTCTGCCCACGTCAAGATATCTATATTCGGTAAAAATAGGATCGAAAAGTAATTACATTGTCTTGCGTTTACGTAAATTTCAGATTTTTCAGTTGCAGAATAAAAAAATTATTGACAAAAAATCAAAAAACACGGTAATTAGGGTCCTTATCTCGGCGGTTTTTTAATATACAGATTTCAAACCAATTACATCAAATAGTGCTTAAAAAAACATAAATTAAAAAAAAAGTGTCTCGATCAATAGGAGTCGAGTAAATTTTTTTTTTTAAACGGTATTCTGGCTGTTCTATTTAATATTTTGTAATAAACTTGGGCTCGTTGTAAAATAGAAGACTTCCTTTATACGCTGAATTTCTTTTTTAATGGATTCAACCAAGAAATGACCATGTTAACGTTCGTTAAAGACAGAATTGCCAGGACAGGAGAGGGCTTTGACGTCGTAGTGTCCATGCTGCGGTCGGCTTCTCAAAATTCTTACTTAACAAATGTGGCACTTAGAAAGCAGCTACCGGGATGCAATTTTTTTAAATCAACTTCTTTTTTTCCGCTCTTTCAAATGGTGTAACCAAAAATCTGTGAGTCATCGCCAGACCCCGAAAGCTACATTTTAATTGACTTTTCACATTTTTCTTTGTAATTTCATTACGCTTCGATATTTTGAAAAGTAAGAAGGTCTTTTTATGTATTAAAAAACAAATGTCAATTATTTCTTAGATTTAGAGGCTCTACGTCTGTCTGTTACTACAAGTCGAAGACTTTTTGTGATGTATGTCAGGGAAAAATATGTTCCGCCACTCTATTACCCGATGCAGGGGCCAATATTACCACCATTGAACGACATGGGGGGTGGCGTTCTAGTATGGTAGCGGAGACATATACAGAAGATTCTATACAAAATAAAATTTCACTCGCAAATAAATTGTTACCATCTTCTGCAATATCGACACTTTCAATTTACATGTAGTGTAAAATAAATTGTAATCGTCTTGTTTATAATAGTTACTGTTTTGTATTGAAATGTTATATTACTTAAAATGTGTTATTTAATTAATAAAATCATAAATAAGTTTTGAAAAAATAACAAATTATTTGGACATTTGTTTTATGTTCTAGAACGAAAAAGACTGGCATTCTAGAACATAAAAGTATTTTGCAGCTAGGTGACAAAAAAAAAATTCACCTTGTCAACTGAAAATTTAACGACAGTCGATTTTTGATGACAGTTTTCGAAAAAAATTGTTCATAGCAAAACTTTTGTAATAAATAATTTATACCACAAGAAATATTGTACTATACGCACAAACCCGAACGCATACCGTTTAGTTTACTGCCCGTTTTGACATGAAAATTAAATACAGTAAAAAGATAGTCAAGTTTTTAGTATTTCATGTTTTAATTAGGCAAAGATAAATAGCTAAAAACCCCTAATAGCCAAGTAAATGAAATTTGTAATACATGTAAATCAAAAGGTTATTCGTTTCAGATTGAAACTTGGTTTAATCGTTAGTTTAGGCAAAATGAAATAATACTTCCCAAAAAGTATCGGTTTAAAACAACAAGATCATTGTTTAAACAATGATTGCAATTACCAAAAATGGAGTTTTCCACCTGTATTAAAAAGCCTTCTCCAACAGAAGTTTTTGCTTCTGTTTGTACTTATAGGTTTTCAAAAAATGCTTCATTTGAGACCTGCTAAATTAAAATCTATTAACAATTTGTTTAAATAATTGCAAAAAACCAGCGAAATTTGAATTTGCTATAAATAGAAGGAAAAAGCATAAATAGTCTCTAAACTGCAGTAAAAGTTGTATTTTGTTAAGCTTAAGAAACCCTGAAAATTTGGTAAAAAAATTTTTATTTGTTTACGAGTTTTTGAATTTGTTTATTAGAAATAGCATTTTTTCAATTACAAAAACGCGGTTGTTAGCGTTATAATAAAGGGCCTTATGAGGGCTCATTTGTTTCGTCTTGACTTATATTTTCAAGAAATGCAATTGGAAATTGTAATTTCATAGGCTAACCTCCTCAAAACGGCGCATAAACAAATAGTGTAATTTGTTTATAAGGTTTTTTGTTAATAACTTTGCGAAGAATGAATATTTTTTAAAGACGCTTTAATATTTTTTGATATGTTTTAATTTACTTACCTGTTTTAAAATATAATATGTAATTTAATGTAAAAAAATAATACTATTATGCATATTACATCCAAAAACTCAATTCTCAATAAAATAAACTTCAACCCTTTCACTGCTCCAGACGTATATATTCGCTAAAAATTTATAGGGCTCAAACTGCTCCAGACGGATAAATTCGCATGAATAGTTAAATTGGATCAGGCTGCTCAAACCGTATATATTCGCAACCGTGCACATAGTGACTCGGTTATTGCAATTGGTAAGGCGAATTTTTGCGGGCGAGCTTATACCGATTGTGACAAATATTTTTATGGAAAGAGGAACTGGTAATAGTACCAAGATTGTTCATGTTTCTTTCAGTTTCTATTTAGTACATATACTGTATTTTATTCAAAATAAAATCGTAAAATTTATCGTAAATCGTAATTTAACACAACATAATGTAAAACNATTAAAAAAAAAACGTTAAAATTGGTCCACGATTACCGGAGATATTGCAAAATTTTTGGGATTTGAAGTCTCGGAACGTTTCCGTCTTATTTCCCCCACCACATTCCAGGTGTAAAAATGTATTCGATATTTTTTAAAGGGTTAAAAATTACTATAAAATGCATTTCTTCAATATATTTAACCGTTATTATAAAGTTTAAGGGTTGATTGATTTATTCCCGAAATTTCAAGTATTAATGTTTATAAATAAATAAGTTATGAATTTAAAAAAAGCTATCTCGGCTAAAAATGGTCCTAGAACAATTTTTTTTTAATTCGTGAAAAATTACCAGGTTACGAATAGCAAAGCGGCTTAACGCTTAATTAACGAAAAACCTTATAAACAAATTACACTATTTGTTTATACGCCATTTTGAGGAGGTTAGCCAATGAAATTACAATTTCCAATTGCATATCTTGAAAATATAAGTCAAGACGAAACAAATGAGCCCTCATAAGGCCCTTTATTATAACGCTAACAACCGCGTTTTTGCAATTGAAAAAATGCTATTTCTAATAAACAAATGCAAAAACTTGTAAACAAATAAATATTTTTTTACCAAATTTTCAGGGTTTCTTAAACGTAACAAAATACAACTTTTACTGCAGTTTAGAGACGATTTATGCTCTTTTCTCCTTTTACAGCAAATTCAAATTTCGCTGGTTTTTTGCAATTATTTAAACAAATTGTTAATTGATTTTAATTTAGCAGGTCTCAAATGAAGCGTTTTTTGAAAACCTATAAGTATAAACAAAAGCAAAAACTCATGTTGGAAAGCGCTTTTTAATACAGCTAAAAAACTCTTTTTTGTAATTTTTACATTATAATCGTTGTTTAAACAATGATCTTGTTGTTTTAAAGCGATACTTTTTGGGAAATATTATTTCTTTTTGCCTAAACTAACGATTAAACCAAGTTTCAATCTGAAACGAATTTTTGTACAATTTTTTTTTCATTTACTGGGCTATAAATGATTCTTGCAACACACGGTTTTATTTGCCGAAACCTTTTTTAATTTAAAAAAACAACCTGGGGATCTAAAATCCGCTGTCATAAAACTGCCACTCACCTGAAAATATCCTTTATCACCACTATGGCCTCTTGTACGACATAGTTGACCTTGGTTTGGATCAAATCCAACAGCGTGGACACGCAACGCTCGGCGGACGGTTCCACCTTGATCGCGCACCTTCCTATTGCCCTGACGGCTTTCCTCACAAAATCCACATCGACTTCCGTGGCGTACTCCTTAAGCTCGCTAAGCACCTGCGCGATGTTCGCCTGAGAAGCCAGACGGATCATGATGTCCAACTTTTCAAGCTTCACGTAGATCGGGTCGTTGTATTTAACGAAGAACACCTGCAAAGAAACGTTCCGAGTCTCCCGAAACCCTCTCGACATCCGAGTACTTACCTTCATCTCGTGTTTGAGTATATCGGGTTTCTTCTGCACGATCAAGTTGATATTTCTCAGGGCGACGTACTGAACTTCAGGTTCCGAGCTGAGGAGGGTCACCAAAGGCGGGGCCAACTTCTTGCTGAGGGTGCTGCAGAATTCCGTGTCCCCCGCCAGGATCTCCATCATCTTTATGAGGACTTTGACAGCGGAAAGGACGACCGCGGCATTGGCGTGGGCCAGTCGCGGGGTTATCCGCTCGCAGATGCTCTGAGCCTCACGTTCGTCCCTTGGGGTGTAGTTCGAGAGCGAGTCCAGGATAAACACTTGGCCCCATTCCGTGCACTCGTTCAGAGCGGTTAGGAGCTTGTTGATGGTGCTGGTGCTCAGCTCTAACGACAAACAAAAATTAACATTGCATAAAACTAGGACGTACCCTTCAAATGACCTTGAAACGTAAGGTCTTTGCAAGAACCTGTATAAAAATGTATTTTACGAGTAAAGAAATAAGCTTAAATTATTTACCGACAAGAGGCTGGCCGGTGGGGCTGCTTTCGTTAATCTCGGAAAGCGCCGCGACAGCGTTTGCGACCACCATGGGATTCGAATCGCTTAACAGTTCCTTAAGCTGCTCTAGAAACCCTTGGTCTTCCACTAAGCCTACAAGAACACTTTTCAGGACCCTTATTTATCACAAACGAAGATATACCTGAAGAAATGTCGTATAATTTGGCCACGCACACGGCAGCAGTTTTCCTAACGTAAGGATCCTCGTCTTTCAAGCATTTCCTCAGAGGTTCGCACAGATACTCAGTGATTTTATCTACCCGGATGCAGCCCATGGTCCTTACAGCCAGGGCTCGAATCAACGGATTGGGGTCCTCGCAATCCTATAAAAATGAGCAGTTAGAACGGACGGTACGTTAAGGTAGTCTACAAAAAGGGATACTAAAAATTACCTTAAGGAGCTGTGAAGTTGGCAAATCCTTGCATAAAAATCATAATATAAGAGCGGTGCATTTCAAGCTTACTCATTTTTTATTAGATTACCAAAACTTACCTTGACAAATGTGTTCACCGCCATTATGGCCATGTCGGGTTGGGATTTCGCGTAGTTCATCAAATATAGGTAAACTAGCTTTTTCAATTCCAAGTTGTCGGTCTGCATACAGTTTACGACGTCGGGAAACAAGGCCGACACGTCTTTGCCCACCGTCATTGAAGCGATAACCTTAGAAATATGGAAGATAAAATGTTTTGGTAAAAAAAAAGGATTAGTTATTACCTTCTTCACAGCTTCTTTCTTCTTTTCCTTCTTGTCATTGTTCAATTCTGACTTTAACTCGAATATTTCACCTTTTTTAGTGGTGGTAAAGTACTTTGAGTCGGTCATGTTTATAAAACTGGAATCAATATCAGAGGAAATGTAGCGATTCCTTAAGTTTAAGAAAAATTTTCAATAGATTTGATGACATAAAAAATTAGCAGATTTATTTGTTCAGTTTTTGGTAATTACCTGTACTATTAAGCAGTATTCACAATTCGGCAAATACTTTTTTAACAACAAAAACGCCCCACTGCTTTGACAGGAGACGGTAGACGTCACACGCATAGAGTATTTTGACTATTTTGTTATTCCATATTAGTTTTCTATGGTGATACGTCAATATATGCAGTGCTGCCATCTGACAAAACTTTTGACTATAAAAAATAATGGATAAACAAGGACTTCGAGCTGAAGGTTGATCTTAATTTTTTCAGATGAAAAAAAAGGCGTGGCTAAAAGTAGTTTAAAACATTAGCCTTAGTACTGCTGGTTCATAATTTTAAATGTTTTTGTAAAAAAATGGCAGACAAATTAAAAAAAAAAGTTCAAATATAAGATTTTGACGAATTTCGTTGATTATATTTGTTACAGAAATCCGAAATTACAGTTTGGTTGACAATTTATTGCAATGGAAAATGTAATTTCACGTAATTTGTGACGCATAATACGAACGACAATAAATAATAAAATTGTATGAAAATTGTTTAAATTTTTATAATACATTTTTATGAAGAAAATATTTTACAAACTATAATTTCTTTGAATAGGTCGTATATTTTATGTATTTCAAATATGTGACGTCATATTAAACTTTATTAATTTATTAATTTATATATGAATCAACGTACGGAAATGGTGCTGCATCAGTTAAGTTGGAATAGGAGAGCAGATTTTTAACTTATGAAAACAAAAAGTAGAGATACAGCAATAAATTGTTTTACCGGAAAGTTATAATTCAACCTTTGAAATTATAGCCACCTTGGCAAAATAAGTGGTGTGATATTAGGAACACTATTGTAGAATTGCAACACTGCAACTTCATGTCACTGTAAATAGTTGTCATTTTGGTGAATTTGTAAATTGTGTAATATCTGTGGTATTCCGTTGATAAAATGTTATTAACCATGAAGAAAATGTAAAAAATGGGCGCAAAAGATTCGAAAAGGAGTTGTCTGAGCTACGAGGATGCAGTGAAGCGGAGTAAGTGCAATATTACTATGTTGACTGTCCATCGCTTATATCATGTGATATGTTAAAACGTAAATAGTATCATTAAAAAAATACGTGTAATTAACTTATGTACGTTCAAGGAAACGACAACATTCGATCGCAAATTGGTTTTCTTGCTTTGATTTGCGTTTTTTCCCCGACTGGTTCGGGTTAATTTTTCTCCGAACGTTTCGCCTTTTTAATTAATTCGATCTGATTAGTCGCTTTAATTTGACTGCAGCGAATACGATTCTGTTGATAATCGTTTAAACGGTAATTTCCACAGTAATTTTTTTAATTTGTCCAGACAAATGAGGAAGCAGCAAGGCAGTGTATGGACATGTCCTCATTTAGTGATGAACTGCTGCTTTTATTGCATAAATAAAAATTCCTCACTGATTGCAATGCAGACATATTTCACTTATTTACATATCAATAAATGCAGTTAAACTTGTTATTCAAATTATGTAAGTAAATAAAACGAGAACTTTGATGGGTTATGAGGTTGTTGGTATTCTCCAGGTTTATTAAACATCGTGTGGGTGTTCCTTGTTCGCACACTAATAGTTTCTGTGGTTGTAAAGTTGATTTGCGTCGGTTTTTCCAGTGGTTTGCCTAATAATAAATAATGCATTCGATGATTTGTGAAATACGATGCTAAAAAGTGCAAGGGCAGGGAAACCACAATCAAAACATCAATAAAAATATAATTTTCTCTGTTAATCGCTAAACTGACTTGGTAAATGTTATTAAAAATAGTTTTGCTTGGAAGGTAATGAGCAATATCGACATGTGAGTAATTTTGAATAAAATTTCATCGTTTTTTTCGTCACTCGGATATATTGATATATTGGGCGATATTATGGTGGTATTACTGGTATTACTTTGAGGGACACCTATCTATGGTTAAGCCTTTCTAGAAAATGATAAAAATCACGTTATAATTATTCTCGCGCATCTTATCTGATAACATTAATCTACTTCGACTATTTTTATTATATGAAAATCAATCTAATTGTCATGATTCACATATATTTATGGTGCCATTTAGTCATTGTTAGTTTTTTTGCCGATAGAATTCATTTTTGATTTATTTTATAATCCTATTATACTCAATTTTGATACGGCTTGTTCGCTGATTGTTCTAGGCTCTAGTCTAGACAATAGTATCTAAAAAAAAATGACAGTGGGTTTATGTTTCAGACACAGCGTTATTAATATTATCGATTTCACTGCATTTGATGTAGGCTGTATCTAATTTGGCTTAGCAAATTTGTTTATGTAAACTAGTTATAAAAATTGAAGAATAAAAAAATTCATAAATTTTAAGGGGATTTTCAAAGGCTGTAACTTAGCGGAAAACGGTCTTGGAGCAATTAAAAAAAAGCGAAAGTTTTGATTTCAAAATCTGAGAGAAAAAAATTTTTCGCCCACTTTTAAGAAATCAATCCAGCTTAAAAAATTTTTTCAAGATTTTTGCTTCCTTTTCAAAAGATCCATGGGCATCAATATACAGGGTGTCTCACGGTGACGGCCCATTAGAATTATTTCAGAGACTACTTATACCGGGTTTTCGGGCATGCCCTTCTCAACTAAAATAATGGCGTCCACGTACGACTTCTGGTTATACCGGAAGTCGCCATCAACTTGCTTATTTTAAATGGAACACCCTATATATTATTGCAATTTTGGATTCTACGTGTTATTTTAGGTGGACTCTTATGAAGTTTTCCTATTCCTAAAATTAACTGTTTTCGACATATTTAATTTTTTATATTTTATAGTAAGAAAGACGAAGCAACGATATTTATAGGGGGGATAGCTAGGTCTCTAAGCTTCCCATCCATACCTTCAAAGTGGCTTAATTGCATACAGGGTGCTAGAAATTTAATGCCAAGTTTAGTTTACTTCAAGCCTTCATAAGTCGGTTTTTTTAAATGGAACACCATGTATGTTTTCCTATATTCTCATAAACAGTTTTATTATCTTTCGAACGGTATCAGGGTTCCCTATACCTATCTCTTCTAGTTTTTAAGTTATCTACTATTTTTTGTGTAATCACCTAAAATCGTGTAATTTCTTGTGAGGATAGCTGTGGAATTTTTAGCAAAACTTCAAAACAAACAACTAAACTGTCAATTTGTTGTTAGTCTCTTGCAGTGACAGTTCAATTTAGTGTTTATAAGAAATGGGAAGCAATACATATTCAAATACTGATATTTTAAATTTATTATACATTCACGGATGTTGCAATGGGATTATAAGCAGAACATGTACAGTTTTTAATGAGACATATCCAAATTTGCCACCAATAAGCAGAAAAAAGTTTATTTTAACAAATCAACTAGAACTAGAGTATGGTCGAATTTGTGCAGAAAGAATTTTACCAAAACCAATAACTTCAAATGAAGATAATGATAATGTAATAAATGTGCTAGCCTATTTTAATGTTCATCCAGAATCCTCAACTCATGCCGCTGAGTATGATTTAGGCATTTCAGGAGCATCCATTCACAGGACGGTATCCAACTGATTTGCTTTTCAAATATGGTATTAGTTTTGGAAAATTTCTGATATTTACATATTTTTTAGCATTCAGTGTACTTTTTAACATAACATCGAAGGTTTAATTTTATTAATTTTATGTTTGAAATATGTCAGGAATACTGTTTTGGACACTATTTGAATTTTCTTCGAACTACACCACCCTTTGAATTCATTGTAGGCAATCTCGTACTGTCTCGACGATTTTTTGGGGGTTAATTGTGAAACAGCACTTTGTACCGCTTCCAATACTTCCCCTGGTAAATGCTCGTCTTCACTTTCCGAGCTCATTTTGAATTAAACACTCTTAGAATATGAATTACAATGTATAATTCCGACACTACTTTTTCAAACAACAAATTATTGTTTATTAGGTTGCTATTATTATGATAGTCACCTCGCCTAAACCGTCTTGATTCAAACACGATTTTAAAAGTTTTTTAAAGTACTATTTCGCGTTCTAGATATAAAAATAACTATTGATGAAAAAAAATATGGATATTTGTGAAAAAAAAAAGATGAAATGGATAAAAGACGCAAAATTTACCTTTTAGTTGATTTGAACAAAAAGTGACAATTTTGATTATTCGAATCACAATGAAAAAAAAAATCGCAGCGGTTTGAACTCTTCAGGTTTCTTTGGGACACTTTGAGGTTCAAGGGGAATTAAAATATCCTTAGTCTCTCCATTATTTGTAAAGTTATCTCAAGATTAGCGAAAATCCTTAAATATATCAAGTTTCTTGGACCAATTTTTTTTTTTTTTTAAATATGATTTCTTAGAGGTGGTCAACGATAAAAATTTAAGATTTCTAGATCCTGAAACTAGACACCTCAAGCTTCAATTTCCTTCTTTTTTATTGCTGTACGACAATCTTCCGTCAAGTTACAGCCTTGTGATAATCACTTAAAACTTAAGGTTTTTTTGATCCCTTAATTTTTGTGACTAGTGTATATTTGTCCGTAAAACTTTTTAATATGATTTAAACAAATAATAATGGATTTAAATATTGATTTTACTGGTTCAATTATATCGGAAAAACACTGTTTCAATCTGACATACTTCTTTCCCAAATATTCCCATGTATAATCTAATCATAGGTAAATAATTCCAGCAAACAAATCGATTTTTTTTTTTTTTTAAATCGTTGAATATGTATGCGTCGCCTTATTTTTTATTTTAGAAGTTACTCCAGTACAATTTCAAGTGCTTATGTATTTATATACTGTGATAATTGAACAATTAACATTATTTATCGATAAAATCTAGCAGATAACACACTTTTGTCCTATTCACTAGGTAATAAGAACAAACAATTCGATGATAAAGATACTTTGAATTCGTTTTTATTGTATAAATGTTTCATGTTATGAATGTTGTAGAAAGTAAATAATTGGTATTTATTTTATGGCTCGTCGTCTCTATGATTTCTACGTGTAAAGGGCCGTCTGGACAGGAACGCATCGCGATGGCTTCAACAAAAGGTGCCAAACAGAAAATTCGGTGATGGAATTACAGGTCTTTGTTAATTGTAAACGTCTGATAACATTGTTATTTTTAAAACATGCGATAATTTAGACTTGATCGCTTGGATTAAAATACTTAATATTTGTTTACGTATCAGTATATACGGTGAATGAAATTTACATAACCGATTTTTTTTTTCAGTGACGGATGCCGAGCTCAAGAGAGTATGTGAGGCGTTCAAGAGACTGACCAACGGAGGCCAGTACCTGAGCCGCCAGGCGTTCACCCAGAACGTCCTGGGGGACGGCGTCCCGGTGACTATAGCCGACTGGCTGTACGCGGCTTGCGGGGGCACTTCGCGGGGCATAGCCTTCCGGGACTTAATATGCGGGCTGGTCCTGCTCACAAAGGGCACTCAGGAGGAGAAGATCAAGTGAGTGTCGTTATTTAATGAAATCCGCGAATATGTTTGTTTTGCTGTTGTTGTTCTCGTCTGTATCACTTTGTTTGCAAAGAATTTTTTAAATCGCGTTGTTTTCGAGCAATACAAATATATCGTTAGTTCTTGAGTTTAACGACACCGAAAAGCAAATAACAATTTTAAACAGTTACAAAACAAATTGAATAATGTCTTATGACTTAGTTAAACACGGTGCTGTATTGTGGTTGGAAAATGTCTGTTCTGGATCTGAAAAATAAATGTTTGTGCTAAAAATAATTGTAAAGTTGTCCCGACCTTGAATTCGAGTTTTGTCGAAGGGTATTTAAATGGTGAAATTTAAGACTGTTTAAATTTGACTATTTCAGATTTTCTATCGGATTCGTAAACGTAAACGAGTTTAACACGAGAGAAAACAAAACATGAGATTGTAGGAGAACGCGGCTTATCTTCTGACCAATGATAAGGCATTTTACGATATAAAAATAACAGTAATTACTGTTGCTGCTCGAATATTGATAACAAACGTCAATCCTTCATATTACTTAATCGGAATTTTATATAAACAATGCCATATTGCAGAAAAAAACTAAACAAATCTTTACATAGGTTGTTTTCCTGATTTTTTTTATCTAACGTTTACTTTAGCACCTATTTCTAAATAGTGTTATTTATTTATTTGTTTGCTGTAGCTTAAATACATTTAAATTTCAGGTTCTGTAAGAATGGATCTATAAATTATAATAAAGTTACAGTTGTTAACTTAGAATCGCCGTAATACTATAAAGATATACACCAGTAAACTGGAAACTAAATTAAATGTAAATCTTGACAATCTTCTTTCGTTGTATTAACATTAACCGTTTGTTTTTTTGTCCGCCTTATGCCCTCTTGTCATATCACATCAGGTGTATTGATATGTAGTTTGCTTAAACCAGGCCAATGTCAAAGGTCATTGACGCTGAGATTCACAAACTAAGTGCAGTGCTTTAAAAAATTGTAAGAATATTAGTACTTCTTATTAAAAACTTGAAGTGATTCTAAGAAATATATAAAATCTATCAGATTACTAAGTATTTTTATTTATTTTTAATATGTTGGTTTTATAAGACGCTAAAATTATTATTTTAAAACATAAAATGTATATCTGACAGACCCAAAATTAATATTTACTGTAGATTTAATATAAACTGAAAAAAAATTTATTTTTTTAAAAAGCATTGTTTGGTGCTTCGTGAAAATATGGTGAATTTAAGGGGGTATATCGGGTTTACTCAAATGCACAGATGTACTTGAAATTTATATAGCGTATTACCCAGTGCTCCCTCTGTGCGTCATGTTTTTTTGAAATTTTGTTTGAATCTAGATTTTGAGATATTGTTGTTGAAAGTTGTTCATTTTAACATAGGTTTATATGGCGAAGATGGACGGTGCGGCTCTTTTTTTTGCCCATAACAGAAAAAAAATGTAGAAATTGTGAAACAAAACTTTTCCATAGATAGATTCCATTATCTTATTTTTGATGTAAAACTAATGTAAGTTTTGAACATAGTACAGCTGTATTAATTAAAAACAGAAACCTATAATTGCATTTCTGTTTAACTTGAGGATTAATGTGGCAACGTCGCAATCAGCTGACAGCAAGGAGGGAATACATTTGAAAGACTTGATAAAAACGAAATTCAAACATATACATTTTTCCTAAATCCCATGTACATTGTTATCAACAATAAATTATCCACAACAGATGATTTTTTGTAATGTTTTAAAAAAACTAGATTAATTAAAAAAGACTAGGAAGCTGTGATATATTGGAATAAAAAATACTGTTGATAAATCCTTTTAATATATTTAATGGTTTATAAAAACATCGTAATCATTACCCAGCGATATTTAGGGTTACATAAAGTTTTCTTTACTTGATAATATAGTAATACCTACTTGAGATAAAAGCATTTGTACGGAATAACAAAGGAACATAAATATTTCTCAGCAAACTTTATATCTAACAAATTAGTTATAGTTGCAAAACTTTTGTAACATTACTAAAATAGAGATTAAAAACAGTGAGTAATAATGTAATTTCTATCATAGAACCTTCAAAATTGCATCCAACATTTTCTTTGACTTGGACGAGAGATGGGCGCGAGTGTCATTTCATTTCTGTAGAACTAAATTAATATAATTCTCTTTGTTTTACCAGTTCACATGATTTACGGATTTTAAATAAAGGATACAAATCTTCGCGAGGATAATACGATATATCTGCTATATATAATAATTATATTTTACATAGTTTATACACAATACGTTTTTGAACGCGTACGCATCTTTACCCGAATTTGACGCACAATATCTCCGATGTCCGAGGTCTGTAGGTTCACAGTGTGTACAACTGCACTCGATTATTAGCGCTGTTGCCACATCTACATAGTGTTTATGCGTTCATTAAATATAATTTAAAACTACTTCAATATAATATTTTTATGTTGTTAATTAGTCAATATGTATGCTATGTGCATACGAGTAGATTTCTTTGCTATATAGATAATGTTTATCGTAAATAATTTTAATAGAATTTAATTTTTTCAAATTGGCAGTGGGTTTTAGTCCCATAAGAAAAGCATAGGACCCTCCCCCTGCGCTCCTCACTTCCCTTGGACCGATATACCTCCTTAAAATTAAAGTAAAAGTTAAATTTTTTTTCCAGAGTGGGACAAAAACAATGCCACTGTTTCACTTGTCTTTTTTATGAGATTCGATCTGTGGTGACAAAATGATTTTTGTTTTATCCAAAAAAAAAAACATTAACACAGGTTCCTATGGACGTTGTACTGCAACGAATCGGGCACCCAGATCGTCCGGTCGGAGTTCCAAAGCGCCCTACAGATCGAGGGGACCCTGCCCCCCTCTGACGGATCGAACAAAGCGAACCCCTCGTGGGACCGAACGTCGATATCTCTCTTCGGCGCCGGCCAAGACAAGGTCACCTTCGAGGAATTCCGCACCTGGATAATTTACAATAAAGAGGCGACGGTCCTGTCCAAATGGTAATCTGTTGCGTTTTTTAGTTATTTCTCGAGGTTATTTCGGGTTTTTTCGTAGGTTACTCTCTAACCCTTGCGTTTCCTTGAGTTCCGACTTGGAAACGCCCACATTCTACCAGACGTTGTCTGGCGTTACGCACCTGGAAGAGCAGGACATCTGCGAGTTGGAGAAGTGCTTCTGGGCACTGCAGAGTGCCTCCACTACGGGCCACCTGGATTTTAACTGTCTCAAGTCGTTAGTTTCGCCGCCCGTTCCGCTGAAAGCCTGCAAAGGGTAATAAAACGTTGTCGGAGTTGTCGTCGGGACGTGTCGTGATGAAATTTTTCCTTTACAGCTTATTCTTGGCCTTGGACGTCAACAGAGATGACCACGTGGACTTCAAGGAGCTGTGCTGCGGCATATCAGCCGCCTGCCGGGGACCCATGGTTGAACGGATGAAATGTGAGTGAGACGTCGCCTCGTCGAACATCACGGTGAGTAACCGGTAATTTTCTTTCCAGTTTGCTTCAAGGTATTCGACATGGACCGCGACTGCTACCTGAACACGGAGGAGGTGCAGTACATGACGCAGACCCTGCTCTTCATAGCCAACGAGAACAAGCTGTCGTACGCCACCCAGTTGTTCCACGAGAACTACACGCAGCCCAAGCGGGACGTCATGGAAAACGCGCGGAAGGAGTCGCAGAAGAGCAATTTTGAAACGGAAATCATGAAGAGGCACAACAAAGCCCTGGACTCGCTGAACAACCGTCTGGACAAGAACGGCGGACTGACGCAAGAAGACTTTTTAGTGTGGAGCGTCGAAGATAACAGTCTCGTCACGCCGCTCCTGGAGTTGCTGTTTCAGGTGTGCCACGTGTCCCTGGGGCTGAAGCCGCAGTGCCGTCACGATGAGTACGAAATAGGTATGTACGAAGCCTCGAAATCCCCGAGCGTTCTCCGAAACCGTTCTCTTTCAGTTACCGGGTGGTTGGAGAGGGAGCAGCGCCGCGGCTACAACGTGGGTCAGTTCTGGTACCTGATCTCGTCCGAGTGGTGGCAGCAGTGGTTGAATTATACCACGTCGCCTCGGTCCAATCTGGATTACTGCAGTTGCCGCCACGAGCCGAGGATACCCATAGAAGAGGGCATAGTGTGCGACGAGAGTCTGATCAGCAACACCACGGACTACACGTCCACGTCCAACGACTTCAATTCTAACAGTATGGAGTCCATGGGAGACCTCCTGAGCAGGGGAGACAGGTTAGTGTGCGCTTTGCGAGGAATATACGGGAAAATACATTGTAATTAATGTAAAAGCCATTCGTATATCCTGTTTAGTCTTTTTAATGTTTTCGGAGACAAATCAAGACGAGGAATAACACTACCAGTATCTAAAACGTAAATGTTTGAGTACTGGTTGCCATAATCGTGCTCCATATGAGTCTATTTTTGTTTTCTTGTAAATTTACTTGGCATGAGTAAAATGTTATGCAAAAAGTTGTTCATTAATGACACAAATGCATAAAACAAAAAGAAAGAAATGCTATTTATGATGACTGAAACTTAATGTTAATAATTTAAATCCTTAATTACTGCTTATAGACAATTTGTAGAAAGAGTGCATTTCTGGAAACGATAAAAACGACAGAAAATAAATCGGTTGAATATCGATATACATTTTTTTTTTCATTTAAAAAAAAACGTTTTAGAATAAAATGTTTTGGACAAATGTTGTAGAATTTTAATAAAAATTTTGAGCTAGCCCGATGACAATTGATAAACAAATGTAGATATTAGTTATTGCAAAAAAAACAGCTAAAAATCTAATTTTTTTAAAATTTCGATATCTTTAAAACGAAAAAATTTATTTTTTTTTTACGAAACTTCCTGAATATGTAGTCCTTCGCAAGTAAAACAAGTATATTTTTGTAAAATTGCAAAATATTTGTTAGTTTTTGAAAAAATTTAGTTTTTCGAAAAAAATACATTTTTTTCAAGTTTAAATAAATCATACAGTAATGCACTTACGTGACCCATCTTGGGCTTAAAATTTTTTCAAAGAGTTGTCCTTTCCTTTGCAAATTGTGCGCGTATTGCAAAATAATTGGAAATATGCAAAAAATCTACCGAAACTTTGACTTCTTTTCTCGGGGTCGAAAAATGTAGATCTTTTTCTTATCCTTGAAATTTAATCAGAATGGCATTACTGCCATTTGAAAAACTGACATTTTTTCACGAATTTAAAAAAAAATTTAAGACCAACAGGAGCCGAGAATTTTTTTTTTTTTCAGAAAATCGCTACGACCTCATTAATATTAAGTTCTGAAATTTACACATGTAGTTGAAGACTTTCACGTCAATATAAAAAATAGTCCGCAATAATTGACCCCATTTTTTAGAATAAACTTAATTTTGTTGGGCCCGCTGCGTATTATTTTTTAAATTGAAGTGAAAGTATTCAACTACCTACAACATGTGTAAATTTTAGATTTTAATATTAATAAATGCAGTCGTAGCGATTTCTTGTAAAAAAAAATAAAATTCTTCGCCCCTCTTGGTCGTACAGGGTTCGTAGCAGCCGGGAATGCCGGGAAAAGTCAGGGAATTCGTTATTCTTCATGAAAAAACAGGGAATACTCGGGTAATATTAAAAATATTCATGAAAGTCAGGGAATTTGATGTGTGCAACTGGAAATTTTGTAAAGGCCGGTCCTGGGTTCTTGAAAGAGAAAACTATTTGTGGTTTTGAAACCTTTATAAGATGCTGTTAGGGTATAAAAAATATTATGGAGTCCAGTCGAGAAAAAGTTTAATGCATAAACATCAATTAGTATGTAAAAATGAACTACAAGTGACCTGGAGTTTTTTTTATAAGTCAGGGAAAACCTGGAAAAGTCGGGGAATGCCTTATTACTTTTGAACTATGAATCCTGTGTAGGACACTATTTTTTTAAATTCGTGAAAGAATGTCAGCTTTCAAATGGTAATAATGTCATTCCGATTAAAATTCAACGATTACAAAAAGATCTACATTTTTGACCTGAAGAGAGAAGTCAAAGTTTCGGTAGATTTTTCGCATATTTCTAATTATTTTGCAATAGGCGCACAATTTGCACAGGAAAGTACAACTCTTAGAGAAAATTTTAAGCCTAAGATGGGTCACGTAAGTGCATTACTGTATGATTTATTGAAACTTGAAAAAAATAAATTTTTTCAAAAAACTAAATTTTTTCAAAAACTAACAAATATTTTTCAATTTTACTAAAATGCGCTTGTTCTACTTGCCAAGCACTACATATTCTGAAAGTTTTGTAAAAAAATATGATTTATTGAAACTTGAAAAAAATTTATTTTTTTCAATTTTTGTAGAAACTATCAAATATTTTGATATTTTACAAAAATGCACTTATTCTACCCGCCATACATATTCTGAAAGTTTCGAAAAAAAAACTTTTGTTTTAAAGATATAGACGTTTTTAAAAAATGCAATTTTTAGCCGTTTTTTTATACATTTATTTATCAATTGACATCTAGCTGGCTTCAAAATGTTGTTATAAAAAGTTCAGCAACTTTTATCTAAAACTTAGGTTTTTTTTATGAAATGAAAAAAGTGTTTTTTGCGAACTTTGAACGCCATTTTGAAAATGAAGCGCTAACATTCAGCTGGGATAAAGTAGTTCAATCAATTATACGGAATTTCCCCTAATTTTTATGTGTCTCTGTTTGCTGAACTAAATTTCGGCAAAAAAAGAGGTTTTTTTCAAGTTGAGTTGACTGGCCTATCATTGCATAAAAGCAAGTTTTAGCAATTATTGTAATTTGATTAATTTTCTAAGCTTTGTTCATTTAACTCTGCAAAGTTCCATATAAACTTTTTTTTATCAAAAACAACTTAAGTTTAGGACCCCATATTGTACAGAAATCTTTTTGTTTTGAGCTATCACGCAGCGTGTAAGTTTGAATGAACACGTATGAGGTTGTTTCTTTAAAGTCAGTTGTGGAAACTGATTTTTTTAGTAATTTTTATACTTCGCCACTGAAAAAGCAAGTGAAGCCCCAAACAAGAAACAACAAACAAGTTTTGTGCCTTCCCGGCACCCTGTTGTCGTATCTCATCAGGTGTATTGATATTATGCCGTTCACCTGAACTAGGTCGTTGTTAGAAGTCATTACACGGATTCACAGAGTAAACACATAAAAAAATAGTACAAATGCTTTAAATTTAGACAAATCAGGCAAAAAATAAAAATTGAAAACACTCGGGAATTTTTTGATTGGCACCTTGGTCGGAGTGACGAAAAAAAATATTATGAGGAATGTAGGGGCCAAATAAAAGATGTCACTTTTATTTGTATATACTTTAATTGAACTTTAAATTTTACAGGAATTTATTTATTAATTTGAGCGGACTGTGTCTGTTCAACCATTTCATTTAAGAATTTTGCAGTTGCAGCATCGCCTCCAGCTCGGGGGTGTCCAGCAGCTCCGGCACCGGTTCCAAGAAAAGTTTGGGGCGGCCGGGCCCCATCGACAACACTAGTCTCGTGAAAGAACCCACATTTAAAGTTCCCACCTTGACAGGCGAAGGTAAAACGATAATTTTTGTCCCAAAGAACTCCTACAGCGCGGTTTGTTATAGGTGGACGTTTGACCAAAGATATAACGTTGGTGCAGGGCAACGATTTCGAGTTGGTACCCGACTCCTTGTGGAAGGCCCTGTCTATGTGGTACGGGGGTCCGTTACCGTTACCGAGGCAAGTTATAAGGCCCCCGGGTCGCACCGAAGTCGAGCTGGAGCTCTACCCGTTGAATCTGAGGATACTACGGCACCAGTCGGTAGGAAGTACGTCGTCTTGGGGCAGCGTCGTGGGAGGGTAAGCGTTATTGGACGTATTCTTACGGAAGTACAAAATCTTCGTTGATATTTTTAGGTACGGAGCGGCTTTGACCACGGCGGGTCTGACTTCGAGCGTTACCGCCGCTATTAGCCGCCGTCTCACTCACACCGCCGCTTTCTCCCGCCTGGCGACCGTACAGCAAGTCACGGACTTCCTCTGTCACCGTTTATCGCTGACGTCCGAAGACGCAAGGCTGTGGCTGCTGCGGGAGCACTCGTCGAGCCTTCTCGATGATGACAACATGACCCTTCAAGATCTGAACATCGTCGACGGCGACCAAATCCTCCTGGAGGTCCGAAACAAAGATTTAACCTGGCCGGAAGAGCTGAGTCAGCTGACGCCCAACGGCGGTCACGATATCGGGTTGAGCGTGGAGAGGAGGCCCACGATATGCCTCCCGCCAGGTACGACGCCGGAAGATTTGTCCGTGATGTCGTTTATTCGACGATTTGTGTTTCAGGCGCCACGGGACTGCACAATCTGGGCAACACCTGTTTCATGAACGCGGCCCTGCAGGCCGTTTCGAACACGAGACCTCTGACCATGTACTTTCAGCGCGACGCTCAGTTGTCCGAGTTGAACTGCACGAACCCGCTCGGCACGAAGGGGGTCGTGGCAAGGCGTTACGCCGAGCTGTGCAGAGAGCTCTGGGCGGGCTCGACGAGGAGCGTGGCCCCCTTGAAGCTGAGATGTTGCGTGACGAAGCACGCGCCTCTGCTCGGAAGTGGCGGTCAGCACGATTCGCAGGTACGTCCGTCGATAGTTTCGGGAGTTGCGAACGTTTATAATCGTTTCATTCCTCCAGGAACTTTTGGCGTGGTTATTGGATTCTCTGCACGAGGACCTCAACAGGGTGGCCAACAGGCAGTATACGGAGTTGAACGACAGTGGCGGGCGACCCGACGAGGTCGTCGCGGAGGAAGCTTGGCAGCAGCATCTGGCGACGAACCATTCCATCATCACCGATCTTTTCTACGGGCAGTTAAAGAGCAAAGTGAGTAATTTTTTTTGATGTTACGGTTTGGAAGCGCACTTATAAAATCGTTTGTGTTCATTCTTGGCCTTCCTTTGATTTTTCTTCACTACTCGCTATAAAATTAGTCGTATATCGAGGGAGTCATACCAGAGGGGCGTACGAACCAAATCTGAAATTTTACAGGCATACGCCTTTCTGATATTATAGTTTTGCAAAATTGGTTCATACGCCTAAGTAAAATGCGTTAGAATAGAGTGTTGATGTTTATAAATATTAAGCGAATTGATTAAATGAGGTCGTATGCCCTAAAAACCCAAAACCGACTATATTGACTCTTACGCCCTTTTGACATGACACCCTCGGTATGATTTTTAAAATGTCCAAAAACACAAACGTCTTGCCTAGTAAAATTTAATCTGCCACTCTACTTTTTTATTATTATTTTTAAATTGATAAAAAAGAAGAAATTATAAACTGTTCGACATTTGCTTACGTTGTCATCGTACACCATTCTTGATCCGTTAAATCGGTCAATTACGAACCCTCCGACTAGCAGATTAGTCATTAACAACCCACACACGTTTTGGTCACACTTATTGGGATAACTGCGCGCATATGACATGCAGCGACACACATCGGCTGGTAACTGAGACAGGGCGGTATTACAGGAATTCAGACCACGAGGCCTTGGGGGGTCTCTTGTTTTGTACATAACAAGGAAAGACAGAAATAGACGTTTGTAACAAAAGAAAGTTTCAAATTCGTGCGTGTGCGGGCTGGACATATTGGAACACTATGCGAAAAGAACAGCACATTACAGTTCCATACACGAAGTTAAATAATTGTAACTGGATTTATGACCGCTATTTTTGACGTGGAGTATATAATTATCGAAGAACTTATCGATTTTTGTACCAAACATTAAAAAAATTGAATTATTCGTATGTACCACTATTTCTGATTTTGTTTATAGCTCAGTATATGACGGTTTTTAGGCCCGAGTTCTTGACACATGCACCGATTGATGTGAAATTTTAACAGTATGTAAAAAATTGCTCAAGAAACAAAAGTTACATAGTGCCGATGTGTGTTTTCACCCGGGGGGGGGGGGGGTGAATGCCTCCCCTTCTCGGGAGTGGCAATGAAGGCACCCATTTTAATCGCAAAAATCAATAGAGGGATGAATTCTAAGCAAAAAATGCGCTATAACGTTTTTTCCAAAAATTAATATTTTCCGAGTTATTTGCGATTGAAAATGTTGATTTTTCATCTAAAAAGTGCATGTTCTTCAACCATTTTTGATAAATAATTTGAAAACCTTGCGTTTTATTGAAAAATCCATATAGGGCAAAAATAAAGCTTTTGAAATAACGAATTGATTCATTTTGTGTTGATTACCGTAAATGTAATAATAACCGAGTTATCACTCTCTAAAGGTGATTGTTTAGTTTTCGGAAAGTAAAATCTAACCATTTACCGTAAAATAATGGCGAAAGAACCAATTTTTCGAAGAAAATGAATATAACCTTTTTTAAAGTGCTTGGAAAGACGTTTAAAATGCTTTTTTGAAAAAATTTCGTAGCTCAGAAACTCGCAGAGTTAGGATGAAAATAAAATGGTCATCTCATTTTTTCAGAGAAAAAATCAACAATAAAATCTATGACTGAATCATAAAAATAGAAAATAAGCCAAATCCATGTACAGTTGACTTTATTTAGGTACTAATAATAGGCTCTGCAAGTTTGACTGGTTTAAAATGCCTAAATTTTAAAAAAAGTTTGAAATAATGAAAATAAAATTTTTTAATTTTTAAAAAAAAATTCCTTTTTTCGAAATAACTCAAAAACTAAACAAGATACGTGAAAAATGCAAGAGTTCAAAAATAAAGGCCTTTTTTTATAATATTTTTGCTTTCTTTCAATTTTTCTGTAGAGCAAAAACTAACTGAGATATTACATTTTTTAGTTTGCATTTGCGTGTAAGGACCACCTTTGAGCCCTTAAAACCCAAAAATCTCGAAAACGAAGAGTTCAAAACCCTTCAACTATAACGGTTGATTTATAGCTCTTGCAATTCCCTGCAAATTGCTATTTGGAGCGATGAAATATATTAAAAATTAAAAAAGTTATCGTGAAAAAACGAATTGTATTATTCAGTGAAAATTGTCGGCTTGTGTAAATGGCTTAATTTCCGATAGTTTCCGAGACACACTAATTACATAATTTTAGTTTCGAGCTTTAAGTAATCTCGTTGCATTTAGTAATGTATCGTTGAGTGTTTTGAAGCAGGTGAAAATTTTTCAGTTCCTCATTAAGGGTTGTTTTTAAGGGTTGAAACGTTGCAATGAATCATCAGTAATATTATAAACAGTGATGAGTTTTTCATTCATTATAAATTCTATGATGTGAAAAAAATTTTGCTTTATTTTCTGCAATAAGGGTGGTTCTTAAGGGTTGATACTGTGCAATAAATCATGTATTATTTCATAAACAGTAAAAAATATTCAATTCTTCATTATTGCTCCGTCAAAACATTTCAGAGCCGCGAAAACTAATTTTTGTTTTTTTTTTCCTCAAAAAGGGTGGATTTTAAGGGTTGAAATGTTGCTACAAATCAAAAATTATTATTCAAAACATAAAAGAATGCTTATTCTATTGACGTAACACTTGAAATCTATGGTTTTTACGTTTTTTGCAAGAAGGGGTAGTTTTCACCCCCTAAAAACAATAAGCACACATTATGGATATGTAACTTTTGTAAAAGAGAAATTTTCATGAAAATCGGTGCTTGTGTCAACAATTCGGAGGTAATATCCTATTTTTACCGTTGTACGCTGGACTATTACTGGAAGAAATTGTGTTGTTATTATTTCCGAGACCCACGAGTAGCATTTTTACTGCACATTTAAATTAAAGCCTTTCCGTTGCCTCCGTAGGTGACGTGCCAAGTTTGCGGGCACGAGTCCGTACGCTTCGACCCGTTCAACCTCCTCAGCTTGCCGTTGCCCATGGAAAGCTACATCCTCTGCGAAGTACTAGGTGAGTCACCCCTCCAACGCTCCCTGGATTAAAACTGCTTAACTCTGTTCCTTACGTCTAGTTGTCCGCTTGAACGGCGACTGCCCGGTGAAGTACGGCGTCCGTCTCAACTCCGAAGCGAGATACCTAGAGCTCAAGGTGCAACTGTACGAGTTGTGCGGCGTGAAACCGGACAGGCTGCTGCTGGCCGAGGTGGCCTACTGCCAGATCCGGGTGTTATTGCCGGACGAGAGCCGCGTCAACTCCAGCACGGTCACCGAATTGTACGCTTACGAGCTGCCTGACGTGGACGACGTCGCGGGGACCGATGAGGGTGAGAACGAAACAGGTTTGTAACTCGTTTGTATTGCGTTTGTCGGGTGCATGCGGTTTATCCCGCTCCTGATTTTTTTTGTTTTGTGTAACTCCCGTTTGTCCACAGAGGAGGAAATGGGAATACCCGACAGCCCGTTGGCCCGAAGCCCAGAGGTAAGCGCTGGTTCGGCACTTTGCATGCCCAACATTCTATGCTTCAAGGTATGCACGTACCCAAATAGAGCCCTTGTTGTGTGTGGCTGGCGCATGACTGTCGTAACCGTAGCTAGAAACCGTCGTTTGTCAACGTTGCAAGTTGCAAACGTGAAATTGTAGTATTCTAGTAATTTTTTTTAGTTTGTTTGTTGAAATGTCGAAGTAATACTGTCGAAAAATGGCTGTTTTAGATTTCACGCGGTTTTCGAAACGTTACGGTTTAGCAGTAGTGAGTGTTGAGTTTGTAAATGTTTATTTTTTGGGTACTGTTTTGTTTTTATTTATTTACTTATTTATTTTTTAAATGTTCATGAATTGATCTAAAAACATGTCAACGAACGAATCGGTGTTTTAAAACACCTCATTCCCAGTGCGATTTATTCGGAATACGTCGATATGTCCTTGTTTTCATATGGAAAATGCTGTGACGGCCATCCGCATTTGATAAAACGGTAAAAAATTAATCTGATCATTCTGATTAATTATTTCTGTTTTTTTCGGAGACATAGCGTTGCGGATAGGTCTGAAGAGTAGTTTAGGAAGCGAGAACACAATTCTCATTCGAAAGTTATAAATTTTCTGAAATTAAACTATAAAAATTTCAGTAGAATGCATAGGGGACGTTTTGGTGACGATAAATCGCCATTTAGGCCACTCTTCAAAAAATTTCTATTTGTTGATGAAAATTTGATACATTTTTCTAGTTTTATCGTCCGACTAATTGCCCGCTGATGCAGTGAACCGCTTCTAGAAATGAACATACACCGTCGATTAATTGAAATTGATCATTGTGATTTTCGACGTATTGCTCATCGCCTTCGATAAACCGCACCATGGATGGGGCTTTAAAGGGACCGAGATCGATTCATTAACAAATAATTTCTTGTTTTCTTTTTAATTAGATTCGATTATAGCGTTTTTTTTTTCAATAGGTATATGTAAATTAAGCAAAAAAATTAAAGGTGTAGAAAAATTTCCAAATATTTTTAGTTATAATTGAAAGGCTGCAACTTCGTATAAAAAAATTTTTGAAAAATAAGATTTTTTCAAAATTATATTTTTTCCTTTTTTGCATTATTTTTCTCACAATTTTAAATACTCATCAAATATAAAAAATAAAATCAAAAATTTGAAAAAAAACAAATTTTCCAAAAAAAATTTTATATACAATTTTACATTGAAATCTCGAATGTCCAGAACAATTAAAAATTAAATTTTTTTTCAAATTTTTTCATTTTTTTTGCCATATTTGATGAGCGAAATTGTGAGAAAAATAAGGAAAAAAAATTTTTTCTTTACATTTGAAATATGTATTCAATAAAAATTGTAAAAAAGGACGCAAAATTAAAAATTTTGAAAAATTTGGTATTTTTTCAAAATAGAATTTTTTTCTTTTTTTGCGTTATTTTTCTCACAATTTCGCCTTAAATACTCATCAAATATAAAAAAAAATCAAAATTTTGTAAAAAAAATAAAATTAAAAAATTTTTGAATTCTCGAATGTCCAGAAAATTTTTTTTTGCCATATTTGATGAGCGAAATTGCGAGAAAAATAACAAAAAATTTGTTTCATCATAATTATTGATTTTTTTAAATTTCAAAAAAAGTGTTTTTTTCTGGACATGAAATATTCAATCAAAATTTTTTATTTCTGGACATGAAATATTGAATTAAAATTGTAAAAAGGGACGCAAAATTAAAAATTTTTGAAAAATTTGATTATTTTTCAAAATTGATTTTTTTTATTTTTTTTGCATTTTTCCCACAGTTTGGCATTAAATAATCAAAAATTCATAATTTTGAAAAAAAAATCAAATTTTCTTGACATTTGAAATATTCAATAAAAATTGTAAAAAGGACGCAATTAAAAATTTTTGATAAATTTAATTATTTTTCAAAATAAAATTTTTGCTTTTCTTTTTTTTTTTCATTATTTTTCTCACAATTTCGGGTTAAATACTCAAATATCAAAAAAAAAATCCAAATTTTGAAAAAAAATCAAATTTGATTTGTTTTGAGTTTTGAATTATTTTACATTGAATTTTTCAGATGTCCAGAAAATATCTTACTTAAATTTAAAAAAATGTTTTTTCGGTATTTGATGAGCGAAATTGTGAGAAAAATAACGCAAAAAATTGGTTTTGAAAAAAATAATTTGTTAAAATTTTTGCCTTGCATTATTTCTTTTCACTGCACCAAGAGTGAAATTTTTCATCTCAAGATTTCAGAACTAGAATCTTCAAGCTTCAATATCCTTCTTTTTTTTCTCGATACGACCATACCATTATTCACAAAGTTGCAGCCTCCCAAATATCACTAAAAAAATTAAGAAATTTTCCTGCTCCATTAATTTTTTTCCCCGAGTGTATATAAAAAGAAAACATCCTTTATTTTTATTTACTGTTGATAATTTGTGGCTTCCGTTGTTTTTTTTTTGTAAATAACTGGTTTTTTATTTTTTATGATTTTTTTTTGTTGCTTTATTTATTAAGCCTGTATATAGTCAAAATTCCTCGCTTTAGCCGTTTTAATTCATTCAACTTACAGGTAAAAAAAAAAGCAGTTGGAAATTTAATTTCGAAAGATTTCTCTACTGTATATTTTGAAAAATTTAAAAAGTGGGAATTTAAATTCGAAACAAGAATTATAAGGTAGAAAACAAATCCTTCGTTTCTTGCCATAACATTGATTGCATCGTTACTTGTGCTGTTTTTTTAATTATTTGTGGGATAAATAATTTTTCTTTTTGTAAAATTCGCCTACGTTTCGACTAAGACATAAAAATAATGGGACAAGTTCATGAATAAGAGGACTAATATCAAATGCCGTTCAAAAATCTTACAAAGATCTCTTTTATCCGAACTGCCCAGTAACGGCGTAGACAAGAATTGCTAGTATTTATTTGATTGCACCTAAAAAACTTCGAATTACATCCTGTATTAGTTGAAACATCGGCAAATTTTATAAAAAAGGAAATCTATTATTCGTTCCAAACATAATTAAAAAAAATAGTAAACCGAATAAGTTGTAAACTTCTCAAAAACTATCTAAATTTTCTAGCAAATAAAAAAATTTGTATTACTTACAACTTGACTAACTAAATTAATTTGAAATTATTAAAAAGTTGATTTTGTCTCGTGGTATGCCTACAAATTTAAAAATTTATACCGAATAGACGAATCCTTGAAATATTACACGACGTTAGCGTTCATTTTCCAGCACAACAAGAAAAGATCGGAGCTGGGCCACAACAGGCCCGTCCCCTTGAAAAAATCCAGCATCTCCATACATTCCGGCTCGTCCGCCACCTCCGGTAAGTCACGTCCGTCCCCTTCAAAGCATCCGTCCCTCGAATGCCCGTTTCCTGTTGCAGCTTCCTCGGAATCCAGTCAGAAGTGGCCGCGCTACCTCATCGCCGTGCACCGGAAGTGCGTCAGACAGGAGACCTACTTCCTGTCGCAGCAGAAGAGCAAACCGAGCCTGTTTGGGCTGCCGCTGCTGCTCGGCTTCGACCAGAGCAGCAACTGCCAGAGCTTGTACGAGGCCGTTTGGGGGCAGGTGACGCGGCTGCTGAGTCCGATGCCGCAGAGCGACCAGACCAATCACGCCACCGACTGGTAAGTGAAGAGCGGGGTCTTGAGTAGGGACCGTAAGATTAATTTTGTGAAGTTACAGCGACGACTCCCTCGGGTACGCCTTTCCGTTCACGTTGAAGGCGGTGCTGCAGGGCGGGCAGATCTGCGCCATCTGTCACTGGACGAAGTTCTGCAGGGGGTGCGTGCTGCCTTGCTCCGACGAGCTGGTGGCGGAGAAGTGCAGGGGGAGCCAGGGGACCATGTATATTGCCATCGACTGGGACCCGACGGCGCTGCACCTGCGGTACCAGAGCAACAGGGAAAAGGTAAGGTTAACTTATGCACTTTGTTTAGCGTATTACACCCGCATGGGATTGCATTTTTTTTTTTAATGAGAATAATATGTCCTCCTCACTTGTACGCTTATGACATGCACTGACACGCATCGGCTGATAACTGAGACAGGGCAATATTTTAGGATGTCCAACCGTAGGGCTTTAATAGTCACTCTTTTTATGCACGATAATGGATGGCTGTGACAATGGAATGATCCGAGTGCGAGGCACATATTGGAACACTATGCGAAATGAACGACACATTACAACTTCCATGCGGAGAATACGCAAAATTATTTCATTAGATTAAAAAGTAGTAAAAATTGTTTGATTTATTCATGACTGCCAAATATTTTGATGCTGGAGTATTTTTTTATTTTAATCGAGCTTAAATCGAACTCTTTTTTGTTCCGAGATTATGAACTTGTTATTTTTTAAAATATTTTTTGTGCAATTTTCTTTTCATACTTCACTTTATTCAAGCAGTCTGTTTTTCTACCTTCATTTGTTTGAGTACTCTATTCTACCTTCTTTTGTTTGAATAGTCTATTTTTTCTACCTTCTTTCATTTGATTAGTCTATTTATTTCTACCTTTCGTTTGAGCAGTCTTTTTATTCTACCTTCCTTTGAGTAGTCTATGTTTTTCTACCTTTCGTTTGAGTAGTCTATTTTTTTCTACCTTTAGTTTGAATAGTCTTATTTTTTTCTACTTTCTCTCATTTGAGTAGTCTATTTGGTCAACATTCCTTTGTTTGGGTAGTCTATTTTTTCTACCGTCTTTCGTTTGCATAGTCTATTCTAGATTCTTTTGTTGGCGTAGTCTATTTTTTTTTTACCTTAATTTGTTTGAGTAGTCTATTTTTTCTACCTTCTTTCGTTTGAGTAGCTATTTATTGTACTTTCTTTTGTTTGAGTAGTCTATTCATTCTACATTCTTTCGTTTGAGTAGTCTGTTTTGTCTACCTTCTTTTGTTTCAGTAGTAATTTTTTTTCTACTGTCTTTCGTTTGGGTAGTCTATTTATTCTACCTTCTTTTGTTGGAGTAGTCTATTTTTTTCTACCTTCTTTTGTTGGAGTAGTCTATTTTTTCTACTTTCTTTTTTTTGATTAGTCTATTTACTCTACCGTCTTTTGTTAAGTAGTTAGTCTATTTATTCTACCTTGTGTTGAAGTAATCTATTTTTCTACCGTCTTTTGTTTGAGTAGTCTATTTTTTCTACCTTCCTTTGTTTGAGTAGTCTATGTTTTGTGCCATCTTTTTTTTTGAGTAGTCTATTTACTCTACCTTCTTTTGTTGAATACTTAGTCTATTTATTCTACCTTCTGTTGAAGTAGTCTAGTTTTTCTACCTTTTGTTTAAGTAGTCTATTAGTTTACCTTTTGTTTGAGTAGTCTATTTACTATACCTTCTTTTGTTGAGTAGTATTATGTTTTTCTACCTTTTGCTTTAGTCTATTTTTTCTACCTTCTTTCTTTTGAGTAGTCTATTTTGTTTCTGTAGTCTATTTTGTCTACGTTCTTTCGTTTCACTAGTCAATTTTTTCTACCTTCTGTTGTTGAAGTGGTCTATTTTTTCAACCTTTTGTTTCAGTAGTCTATTAGTTTACCTTCTTTTGTTTGAGTAGTCTATTTTTTNGAATTTTCAAATTTCCAGAATTTTTTTTTATTTAAATTTAAAGAATTTAAAAATTAGATTTTTTTTTAAATTTTTGAATTTTTATATGCCACATTTGTTTCATCTTAATCATTGATTGATGTTTAACGATCTGTTCTTTTAATTTTGTATAAAACTGAGGATTCAGGAAAGGAAAATGGTTCTACCAATCGATTCCAAAATTTACAAGCCTCAAGGGCTAAAAAACCTACAAACATTGGTACTTTTCAAATTTTTACTTTTTTTTACATTAAAAAAAAAAATTTCTTGACATTTGAAATATTCAATAAAAATTGTAAAAAGGACGCAATTAAAAATTTTTGATAAATTTAATTATTTTTCAAAATTAAATTTTTGCTTTTCTTTTTTTTTTCATTATTTTTCTCATAATTTCGGGTTAAATACTCAAATATCAAAAAAAAAATCAAATTGATTTGTTTTGAGTTTTGAGTTTTGAATTATTTTACATTGAATTTTTCAGATGTCCAGAAAATATCTTACTTAAATTTAAAAAAATGTTTTTTCGGTATTTGATGAGCGAAATTGTGAGAAAAATAACGCAAAAAATTGGTTTTGAAAAAAATAATTTGTTAAAATTTTTGCCTTGCATTATTTCTTTTCACTGCACCAAGAGTGAAATTTTTCATCTCAAGATTTCAGAACTAGAATCTTCAAGCTTCAATATCCTTCTTTTTTTTCTCGATACGACCATACCATTATTCACAAAGTTGCAGCCTCCCAAATATCACTAAAAAAATTAAGAAATTTTCCTGCTCCATTAATTTTTTTCCCCGAGTGTATATAAAAAGAAAACATCCTTTATTTTTATTTACTGTTGATAATTTGTGGCTTCCGTTGTTTTTTTTTTGTAAATAACTGGTTTTTTATTTTTTATGATTTTTTTTTGTTGCTTTATTTATTAAGCCTGTATATAGTCAAAATTCCTCGCTTTAGCCGTTTTAATTCATTCAACTTACAGGTAAAAAAAAAAGCAGTTGGAAATTTAATTTCGAAAGATTTCTCTACTGTATATTTTGAAAAATTTAAAAAGTGGGAATTTAAATTCGAAACAAGAATTATAAGGTAGAAAACAAATCCTTCGTTTCTTGCCATAACATTGATTGCATCGTTACTTGTGCTGTTTTTTTAATTATTTGTGGGATAAATAATTTTTCTTTTTGTAAAATTCGCCTACGTTTCGACTAAGACATAAAAATAATGGGACAAGTTCATGAATAAGAGGACTAATATCAAATGCCGTTCAAAAATCTTACAAAGATCTCTTTTATCCGAACTGCCCAGTAACGGCGTAGACAAGAATTGCTAGTATTTATTTGATTGCACCTAAAAAACTTCGAATTACATCCTGTATTAGTTGAAACATCGGCAAATTTTATAAAAAAGGAAATCTATTATTCGTTCCAAACATAATTAAAAAAAATAGTAAACCGAATAAGTTGTAAACTTCTCAAAAACTATCTAAATTTTCTAGCAAATAAAAAAATTTGTATTACTTACAACTTGACTAACTAAATTAATTTGAAATTATTAAAAAGTTGATTTTGTCTCGTGGTATGCCTACAAATTTAAAAATTTATACCGAATAGACGAATCCTTGAAATATTACACGACGTTAGCGTTCATTTTCCAGCACAACAAGAAAAGATCGGAGCTGGGCCACAACAGGCCCGTCCCCTTGAAAAAATCCAGCATCTCCATACATTCCGGCTCGTCCGCCACCTCCGGTAAGTCACGTCCGTCCCCTTCAAAGCATCCGTCCCTCGAATGCCCGTTTCCTGTTGCAGCTTCCTCGGAATCCAGTCAGAAGTGGCCGCGCTACCTCATCGCCGTGCACCGGAAGTGCGTCAGACAGGAGACCTACTTCCTGTCGCAGCAGAAGAGCAAACCGAGCCTGTTTGGGCTGCCGCTGCTGCTCGGCTTCGACCAGAGCAGCAACTGCCAGAGCTTGTACGAGGCCGTTTGGGGGCAGGTGACGCGGCTGCTGAGTCCGATGCCGCAGAGCGACCAGACCAATCACGCCACCGACTGGTAAGTGAAGAGCGGGGTCTTGAGTAGGGACCGTAAGATTAATTTTGTGAAGTTACAGCGACGACTCCCTCGGGTACGCCTTTCCGTTCACGTTGAAGGCGGTGCTGCAGGGCGGGCAGATCTGCGCCATCTGTCACTGGACGAAGTTCTGCAGGGGGTGCGTGCTGCCTTGCTCCGACGAGCTGGTGGCGGAGAAGTGCAGGGGGAGCCAGGGGACCATGTATATTGCCATCGACTGGGACCCGACGGCGCTGCACCTGCGGTACCAGAGCAACAGGGAAAAGGTAAGGTTAACTTATGCACTTTGTTTAGCGTATTACACCCGCATGGGATTGCATTTTTTTTTTTAATGAGAATAATATGTCCTCCTCACTTGTACGCTTATGACATGCACTGACACGCATCGGCTGATAACTGAGACAGGGCAATATTTTAGGATGTCCAACCGTAGGGCTTTAATAGTCACTCTTTTTATGCACGATAATGGATGGCTGTGACAATGGAATGATCCGAGTGCGAGGCACATATTGGAACACTATGCGAAATGAACGACACATTACAACTTCCATGCGGAGAATACGCAAAATTATTTCATTAGATTAAAAAGTAGTAAAAATTGTTTGATTTATTCATGACTGCCAAATATTTTGATGCTGGAATATTTTTTTATTTTAATCAAACTTAAATCGAACTCTTTTTTGTTCCGAGATTATGCACTTGTTATTTTTTAAAATATTTTTTGTGCTATTTTCTTTTCATACTTCACTTTATTCAAGCAGTCTGTTTTTCTACTTTCTTTTGTTTGAGTAGTCTATTTATTGTATCTTCTTTTGTTTGAGTATTCTATTTTTTTTTACCTTCTTTTTGTTTGAGTAGTCTGTTTTGTCTACCTTCTTCTGTTTCAGTAGTCAATTTTTTCTACCGTCATTTGTTTGGATAGATTGATAGATTTAGATAGATTGTTGGAGTAGTCTATTTTTTTCTACCTTCCTTTGAGTAGTCTATTTACTCTACCTTCTTTTGTTGAGTAGTCTTATGTTTTTCTACCTTCTTTTGTTTCGGTAGTCAATTTTTTCTACCGTCTTTCATTTGGGTAGTTTATTTATTTCATTCTACCTTCTTTTGTTGGAGTAATCTATTTTTTTCTACCTTCCTTTGAGTAGTCTATTTACTGAACCTTCTTTTGTTGAGTAGTCTTATGTTTTTCTACCTTCTTTTGTTTAAGTAGTCTATTTTTTCTACCTTCTTTTGTTTGAGTAGTCTATTTTTTCTACCTTCTTTCGTTTGAGTAGTCTATTTATTGTATCTTCTTTTGTTTGAGTATTCTATTTTTTTCTACCTTCTTTTGTTTGAGTAGTCTGTTTTGTCTACCTTCTTTTGTTTCAGTAGTCAATTTTTTCTACCGTCTTTCGTTTGGATAATATATTTATTCTACCTTCTTTTGTTGTAGTCTATTTTTTTCTACCTTCCTTTGAGTAGTCTATTTACTCTACCTTCTTTTGTTGAGTAGTCTTATGTTTTTCTACCTTCTTTTGTTTCAGTAGTCATTTTTTTCTGCCGTCTTTCGTTTGGGTAGTCTATTCTACCTTCTTTTGTTGGAGTAGTCTATTTTTTCTACCTTCTTTTGTTTAAGTAGTCTATTTTTTCTACCTTCTTTTGTTTAAGTAGTCTATTTTTTCTACATTCTTTTGTTTAGTCTATTTTTTTCTACCTTTTTTTTGTTTGAGTAGTCAATGTTTTCTACCTTCCTTTGTTCGGGTGGTCTATTTTTTCTACCTTCTTTCGTTTGAGTAGTCTATTTTGTCTACATCATTTTGTTTTAGTAGTCAATTCTTTCTACCCTTATTTGTTTGGGTAGTCTATTTATTCTACTTTCTGTAGTTGAAGTAGTTTATTTTTTCTACCTTCTGTTTGAATAGTCTATTAGTTTACCTTCTTTTGTTTGAGTAGTCTGTTTACTCTACCTTCTTCTGTTGAGTAGTCTTATGTTTTTCTACCTTCTTTTGTTTAAGTAGTCTATTTTTTCTACCTTATTTTTTTGAGTAGTCTATTTTTTCTACCTTTTGTTTGAGTAGTCTATTTTCTTCTACCTTGCTTTGTTTAAGTAGTCTACGTTTTTTACCTTCCTTTGTTCGGGTAGTCTATTTTTTTCTACCTTTTGTTCGAGTAGTCTTTAAGTTTACCTTCTTTTGTTTCAGTAGTCTCTTTTTTCTATCTTCTTTTGTTTGAGTAGTCTATTTTATTTCTACCTTCTTTCGTTTGAGTTGTCTATTTTGTCTACGTTCTTTTGTTTCAGTAGTCAATTTTTTTTACCCTTATTCGTTTGGGTAGTCTATTTATTCTACCTTCTGTTGTTGGAGTAGTCTATTTTTTTCTACCTTTTGTTGGAGTAGTCTATTAGTTTACCATTTTTTGTTTGAGTAGTCTATTTTCTACCTTCTTTCATTTGAGTAGTCTATTTTGTCTATCTTCTTTTGTTTGAGTAGTTTATTAATTCTACCTTCTTCTGTTTGAGTAGTCTATTTATTCTACCTTCTTTGGTGGTGATTCCAGTAAGAACCGTTATTAAAAACGCGCATTATCCTATTTTATATTGATTATTTCTGTTGCGTTACCAATTATAATGGCAAATTACCAATTTAAATGTTTGTGGAGCATGTAACGATGAAGATGTTTNTTGTTTGAGTAGTCTATTTACTATACCTTCTTTTGTTGAGTAGTATTATGTTTTTCTACCTTTTGCTTTAGTCTATTTTTTCTACCTTCTTTCTTTTGAGTAGTCTATTTTGTTTCTGTAGTCTATTTTGTCTACGTTCTTTCGTTTCACTAGTCAATTTTTTCTACCTTCTGTTGTTGAAGTGGTCTATTTTTTCAACCTTTTGTTTCAGTAGTCTATTAGTTTACCTTCTTTTGTTTGAGTAGTCTATTTTTTCTACCTTCTTTTGTTGGAGTAGTCTATTTTTTCCTACCTTCTTTCTTTTGAGTAGTCTATTTTGTCTATGTTCTTTTGTTTCTGTAGTCTATTTTGTCTACGTTCTTTTGTTTCAGTAGTCGATTTTTTCTACCTTCTGTTGTTGAAGTGGTCTATTTTTTCAACATTTTGTTTCAGTAGTCTATTAGTTTACCTTCTTTTGTTTGAGTAGTCTATTTTTTTCTACCTTCTTTTGTTGGAGTAGTCTATTTTTTCTACCTTTCTTTAGAGTAGTCTATTTTGTCTGCGTTCCTTTGTTTCTGTAGTCTATTTTGTCTATGTTCTTTTGTTTCAGTAGTCAATTTTTTCTACCTTCTGTTGTTGAAGTGGTCTATTTTTTCTACCTTTTGTTTGGGTAGTCTATTAGTTTACCTTCTTTTGTCTGAGTAGTCTATTTTTTTCTACTTTCTCTCGTTTGAGTAGTCAATTTTGTCTGTCTTCTTTTGTTTGAGTAGTTTATTAATTCTACCTTCTTTTGTTTGAGTAGTCTATTTATTTTACCTTCTTTTGTGGTAAGAACCGTTATTAAAAACGCGCATTATCCTATTTTATATTGATTATTTCTGTTGCATTACGAATTATAATGGCAAATAACCAATTTAATTGTTTGTGGAGCATGTAACGATGAAGATGTTTGCTTTGAGAAGCCGTAAAACCATTTTTTTTTGTTTTTCCTTAGCTTTGGCAAGAACACGAATCGGTGGCTAATTGCAGGAAGCTGCACACCGAACCGATCGACTTAGACTACTGCCTGAAGGCTTTCACGTCGGAGGAGCGTCTGGAAGAAAAATACCACTGCAGCAGCTGTCGGGAGCGCCAACCCGCCACCAAGAAGCTCCAGATCTGGCGGCTGCCCCCGATACTGGTAACTATTCAGTTTTCTCTTGTAAACATCGACCGATATGCTTAAATTCCTCATTTTCAGATCATACACCTAAAACGCTTCGACTGCGTCAACACCAAATGGGTGAAGACGCAGAAAGTGGTGAACTTCCCGTTCAAAGACTTCGACCCGACCGCCTATCTCGCCTCCGTGCCCCAGGAGACCATCCTGAGACACAGGCAACTGCAGCAGGAGAAGGCGCACCGTGACGAGCTGGAATCGTCCGTGGAGAGCCAGCCGGAGCGGATAGCGGAAGAATCCGAGACGCAGGCGAACGGTACTCCCTCTGTCGAGACTGACGAAGGCGGTAACGGCTGTTCGGACGTTAAAAACGTCTCTGAACGGGGTAGACCGATGAAAGCGAACGATAAGGGGTCCGCGGCGGATAGCGGCAAGGCTGCGAAGAGTAAGGTGAACGAGAGGACGGGGATGATCAGGACGAGATTGGAGTCTACCAGTTTGGCCAAGACGCCGATTATCGACGAACACCTGAAGGATTACCACCAGCACCAGTTGCTGCCGGGGCAGGACCCCTTCGATCTGAGATACCAGCTTTACGCGGTTGTGGTAAGTTTTGAAAATCGTAGAAAATATGTTTTGGTTGTGTTTAGGGCTGGTGATTTTTTGCGACAAATTAGTTGTCCGGTATACAACGGTAAAAGTAGGGTATTACCTCCGAATTCTTGACGCACGCACCGATTTTCATGAAAATTGGCGAGTGAGCTCATTTCACCCTCCTTTACAAAAGTTATGTCCATAATGTGTGCTTATTGTTTTTAGGGGGTGAAAACTACCCCTTCTTGCAAAAAACGTAAAAACCACAGATTTAAGTGTGACGTCAATAGAATAAGCATTCTTTTGTGTTTTGAATAATAATTTTTGATTTGTAGCAACATTTCAACCCTTAAAATTCACCTTTTATGTGGAAAAAAAAAAACAAAAATTAGTTTTCGCGGCTCTGAAATGTTTTGACAGAGCAATAATGAAGAATTGAATATTTTTTTACTGTTTATGAAATAATACATGATTTATTGCAACGTGTCAACCCTGAAAAACCACCCTTATTGCAGAAAATATAGCAAAAAATTTGTTTACATCTTCATAGCATTTATAATGAATGAAAGACTCATCACTGTTTATAATATTACTGATGATTCATTGCAACGTTTCAACCCTTAAAAACAACCCTTAGTGAGAAATTGAAGAATTTTCACCTGCTTCAAAACACTCAACGACACATTACTAAATTCAACGAGATTACTTAAAACTCGAAACTAAAATTATGTACTTAGTGTGTCTCGGAAACTATCGGAAATTAAGCCATTTACACGATCCGACAATTTTCACTGAATAATACAATTCGTTTTTTCACGATAACTTTTTTAATTTTTAATATTTTTCATCGCTCCAAAAAGTAATTTGCAGGGAATTGCAAGAGCTACAAATCAACCGTTATAGTTGAAGGGTTTTGAACTCTTCGTTTTCGAGATTTTTGGATTTTAAGGGCTCAAAGAAGGTGGTCCTTACACGCAAATGCAAATTAAAAAACTTAATATCTCGGTTAATTTTGCTCTACAGAAAAATTGAAAGAGAGCAAAAATATTATAAAAAAAGGCCTTTAAATTTGAACTCTTGCATTTTTCATGTATCTTGTTTAGTTTTTGAGTTATTTCGAAAAAAAGATTTTTTTTAAATTAAAAAAAATGTTTCATTATTTCAAACTTTTTTAAATTTAGGCATTTTAAACCGGTCAAACTTGCAGAGCCTATTATTAGTACCTAAATAAAGTCAACTGTACATGGATTTGGCTTATTTTCTATTTTTATGATTCAGCCATAGATTTTATTGTTGATTTTTTCTCCGAAAAAATGAGATGACCATTTTATTTTCATCATAACTCCACGAGTTTTTGAGCTACGAAGTTTTTTCAAAAAGCATTTTAAACGTCTTTCCAAACGCTTTAAAAAAGGTTATATTCATTTTCTTCGAAAAATTAGTTCTTTCACCATNGAAATTAAGCCATTTACATGATCCGACAATTTTCACTGAATAATACAATTCGTTTTTTCACGATAACTTTTTTAATTTTTAATATTTTTCATCGCTCCAAAAAGTAATTTGCAGGGAATTGCAAGAGCTACAAATCAACCTTTATAGTTGAAGGATTTTGAACTCTTCGTTTTCCAGATTTTTGGGTTTTAAGGGCTCAAAGAAGGTGGTCCTTACACTCAAATGCAAATTAAAAAACGTAATATCTCAGTTAATTTTTGCTCTACAGAAAAATTGAAAGAAAGCAAAAATATTATTAAAAAAGGCCTTTAAATTTGAACTCTTGCATTTTTCATGTATCTTGTTTAGTTTTTGAGTTATTTCGAAAAAAAGGAAATTTTTTTAAAAATTCAAAAATTTTTTTCATTATTTCAAACTTTTTTTAAATTTAGGCATTTTAAACCGGTCAAACGTGTAGAGCCTATTACTAGTACCTAAATAAAGTCAACTGTACATGGATTATGCTTAGTTTCTATTTTTATGGTTCAGCCATAAATTTTATTGTTGATTTTTTCTCCGAAAAAATGAGATGACCATTTTATTTTCATCATAACTCCACGAGTTTTTGAGCTACGAAGTTTTTTCAAAAAGCATTTTAAACGTCTTTCCAAGCGCTTTAAAAAAGGATATATTCATTTTCTTCGAAAAATTAGTTCTTTCACCATTATTTTACGGTAAATGGTTCAATTTCACATTCTGAAAAATAAACAATCACCTTTAGAGAGCTATAACTCGGTTATTAGTCCAGGCGGTATCTGTCTTACAAAGAGTGTACTTGGGTAAAACGCATATGATCGGAGATTTTTGCTTTAACGGCTTCTAAATAACATCAGAAATGATAATTTTTCTATGCAAATAAAAAAAAACGTGGGCTTAATTGTTATTGCTAAAAAGTATAAAAAAATTGCAAAAAAATAATTTTTTTCTTGGATTTCTCGTCGACAACTTAGCAACTATTCGTTTTAGACAAAAATGGAAGAGGAAAAAAAGTTTTGTAATTAAATTTTGAACAAGATAGAGTTAGTTGCAATTCGAAAAAATAATTATTGTTATTGCAAAAATCGGAAAAATCATTTAAAAAATTGCAAAAA